GTTATGTTTGTTCTTACCTGTGCTTATTTTAAAACTTTGAAATAGTACTGTACTTTTCCTACAACTGCAACAGCTTCCTTGCTCATGTCAAACGATCTAAATCCTGATGCGTCACCACCACCGCCTTTAAAATTAGCTCATTAATAGCAGGTGTATAATTGCATCGTCAATATTGGTTCGCTGCAATTAAAAAGGTGAAATTTTAATGATATAGTTTCATTTGACGAAATCTAATCAACAGGTATCCTGACTGGCGATGATTCTTCTGTCTAATACGGAGTTTACTGCTTTATCACCTGCCAGTTCAATATCAATCAGCTGTTTTGGCTGGTTGAAATTCACGATCATTCACAATCGTATTAAGCCGGTATTCTTTGAGCCTCAATGAACCAACGAGAGCGTTCTTTTCGAAATTATCAGAGGGCTCACGTGATATGAAATCATTTGCAGCTTACTTTGATTAGAAGAGAAGATAAGAGGAGAAAAGGAGAGAAGAGAGGAGTCGAGAACAATATCAGCAGATGATAAAAAAGAGGAGAAGAGAGGAAGACGAGAGAAGTAGAGAGACGAACAGATAGGAAGAGAGAAGTGGAGAGAAGCGGAGAGAATAGAAGATAAAAGATTTTGAGAGACTGATGTGTCTCACTATGGGTGCAAATGAAGGTGTCTAGTTAAAGAGCTTAGACAAGTTATTGAAGAACAAAAATTAATGCTGTTACGAATATTAATACTGAAACTATCAATGTACCTCCCAAACAGTCTCTGAAGAAAAATCAGATATAATTTTCCCAACAACATAAACTGAAAGTTACTCCTGGTACTTTATGGTCTATTTTTCAATCCTCGCAAGCAGAGTTATATCAAAAGAACCGAGATGACTGGGAATGCTAAAAGAACCGAGAGGATATATTCCGATTTCATCATTCCAGGTTTGCCCCTCCTCATTCCGGGCAAAATTTGTGTTCGTTGTTATGTCATATCTAAACTAACCTATAGTTAAAAACCTCATTTATTTACTTTCCAAAAAGCAGAAGATACTTTCGATGCACAATTGCGAATAATAGAGAAAGATTTTTTATCGTTAGTAATGTATGGCTTTTTATTTAAGCATAATTTAGAATGACAGTAAAAGGCCTACCCGAGAAATCCCACCCAGAACAATCTAAAATTAGCCACTTATATCCCCTGGTAGTGTCCCTACAAGCGTAATCAGGATGGCCAATTGATAATAGAACTTCTCGAACTTTAAAAGAAGAGAACTTTGAGTGCAAACCAATTTCATTGCAGAGCAACGAATGCTTTCTAATATTTGGAATTGCCTCTGACTACTTTAAGGAAAAAATCTCAGACGAAAAGATTTCGGATAATAAAATTCAATAAAAATATTTACTGGCGTTTTCAGAGATTTCAGAATAAATAAATTTTGGATAAAACAGTACCTTCACTTTTTATCCGCCGTTGGAACAGGAACCTAAATTTTTAGAGATGGTTGCAAGGTATCATTCAAAATGGTTTAAGCGAGGTTGGAAGATGCCATTCTTCCAAAAGTATGGCGAGCAGTTTCTTAGAAGCATTAATATCGATAAGATAAATGAGAAAGAATTAGAAAGTGATGATGGCGTTTTGATAAACAGGAAGAGTGCGACGTTATTTTCTTAAACTAGATTATACTACTTGAAAAACAGATGTTTATATGGTTAACCCGTTACTGATAAAAATATTTTCTGCTGGGAGAGTTGGAATTCAATCTCGAATTACCTGCCTCAGTTGCTGGGTTTTTTGAGGGTGACAATAATTTTCACATGGTGGGGGTGACATAAATTTCAACATGCTGTGGTGACAATAATTCTCACACTTTTGAGCTGACAATAATTCTCACACTTTGGAGCTGACAATAATTTTCACATTTTAGAGCTGACAATAATTTTCACATTTTAGAGCTGACAATAATTTTCACACTTTGCGGGTGACAATAATTTTCACATTTTTTGGGTGACAATAATTATTATATTCTGGGAGTGACAATAATTTTCACATTTTTTGGATGACAATAATTCTTATATTTTGGGGGTGACAATAACTTTCGAATAAATCCAGATCTGGAGAAAATTTATTTTCAAACAGCTTTTCACACTGAAATTGGTGGCACTTGATTATGGTAATTCTCTCTTTCCCCAAAGATACTCCAAAGAGATAGCAACGGCAAATTTTTGCACCACCACTCGAGGTTAAACCTTTGGTACCAGGACCTCTAAAGATATACAATAGGAAGAGGTGAAGAGCAGCGAGCGCAATTCTTTTTGAATTTTTCGAGGCTCTGGCGCTGATAGTATTAATCTTGAAACATCAATTTTCGAAACGACTGTGCCATGACTGGGTCACACAGACCATTTCTTGCCGATCCTGAATACCTCTTTTTCATACTTCAATATTCCGCCAAAACAAGGATAAAGCCTAAAGATATTTTTTTAAGTTGCATCTACCACGAATTACGTAAAAACGCTGACATTCTTGGAATCAAATACCAATTCATTCAACTTCTTAATTCAATTAAAATCAGTTCCTTGGTTTTTCCTTGCTTTTAGTACCAAAATAAAGATTACAGACGTCTTGTGGTCACTATTTGAGAACTCTCTTAATCTTTTAGGCAGAAAGACTCTTTACTTTTAAAAGAGTAAAGAGCTTCAAAGAACAGCTTCAAATAAAGCTGTCGTTATTAAATATTTTGCTCAGTACGCCCACCAGACTGGGTATCATATCCTTTTAGGAATATGCAAGCAACTTGGGAGAAGATTTGCATCATCGATTCATTTAGCAATATTATATTCCTTGTTTTCTCCGAGAAGGGGTTGCATTTGAAATGCCTTAATATGCCATGGGCTACCAAAAGCTGGATTATTTGACCATTAACTTTGGGTAACGTGGGTGAGATTGGACAGTGAAAATCCATCTTATTACGTTCATTTTGGGTGTTTTTCGGCTCTGTACTACAAAAAAGCCTCAATCTCCTATCAGCAATGCTAGTTGAGACAAAGGACATCTATGATAGTGATTACTTAGCAGTTTTCACCATAAGGTTGGAATCTCCATCCTCTTTTCGAAGAGCGGTGAAACTCTATCCCTTGTTCTGGAGGAAATTCAGCCTTATTGTAAAACTCCCTTGTAATCTTTCCATAAAAGCAGGGATGCAGCTCTATGAAAAGAACAAAGGGGAGATCTCGTAATAATTGTTTCAAAGAAACAATAGATTGCATCATCAAGAGCAGCTCAGTCCCTCTGACAGGCCCCGCGCAGCAATCTAAAAGTAGGAGGACTGAAAAGGGCCTGACCGAAAATTTTTAGGCCAGGCTCTTTAGAACGCCGGAAAACGCCCCTTCTTTCAACTTACTATTTCCACTAACATTTTACCTATCCACCAACAGTCCGATTCAGAGAAGATTTAAATTATCATGAAAATAGATATAATAAGCTTGAGGATAATTAGACACCAAGCTAATCAAGTTAGAAAATACAACATATAATCAATCAAAATAAAACACCAATGAAATATGCAAAAAGGGTTCTCAGTCAAAAAGAACTGTTTCCACTTGGGATCCGTTAGAGTTTCATCTATGCCTCTGCTTTAAAGTGAAGTGAATAAACCTATAGTAGACTCATTTAGACTCGTCATCAAATTTTGCTTGAAAGCTGATAAGCAGAGTCGACTGTAGAACACAGAATTAAATTAACTGTCCCTCACTTTTTGAGGAGCCGCCGGTGATTTTTTCGACATATGTTTGAAATTTGGCGCCTATCCAGAAAGCGTTCTACCGGGCAACTTTACTAGGCGAACCATCAAGAAACTGTCTTTTTTATATCTGAAAATGTTTGCGTTGCACTTATGTAGCTTGAAAAAGCAAACATTATAAAGCTTCTGCTTCCGCTTAATGAGTAGAAGTTTCAGTTTTTCCACTTGAAAATTTTAGGCCCTTTTGTTTCGGACCCCAGTTATTTGAATGAGTATCACAATCGTGTATTTCAAAGTCCAGCCTTCGATAAATGAATTTTCAAGGCTAACAAGTTACAGCTTAGCATGCGGATCGCTGCGTATTTTACTCACTGTGGTCTTCCAGATACTTTTTCACCTTATTTTCTCGTTCATTGTCGCTGGCCCACTGCTCGCGTGTATTTTCATAACCGATTATGCCATGTTTACACCAACAAAGCTTCCCTAACAACAACCCATTGGTTGCCTTCAACGAGACCGCAATAATTGATGACGTCAATTATGTATTCTTTTTGGTAATTTATGAAAACTGAAGATAAACAAACTCAAGCTTTTGTTGTTGATTCGGCGTTGGAAAAACCAAGCCTTTAGTGATGCGACTCGCTTTTCCGCTTTCTTGAAACACAGCCTTTATTGCAATCATAAACAGCGGCTAACCTGAGCTTTCAGTTTTAGTTTGGCTTAACATGACAGACAACTGAAGGTGATCTTTTAGGCCGAAAAGGTCAGGCGTGTCAGAAGAACGCTTAGGAAAAGAAGTCTTATGTATTATTGACAGCGAAACAAGAAAATTTAAGTTGGTATCTCCAGAACCATAGCCAGGAAGTTTTTGAAGGGATGAGACTATTAAGGCTGAATAAAACAGCCAACGTTTGTGGGGGAGAAGGGGTTCGCCATGTAAGGCTTGGGCCGCTATGGAATCACATCTGTTCAGGCCCGGCGGAGAAAGATCCATATCTTATTAAACGAGCGGCTTGAATTTTGCTCGAAAGGAAAGAATCTCAGGGGTTGGGTATTCGGGCCCATCTGGCCAACCGCGGAGGGCCACATCTGGTAAAATCATTTTGCATCCAGTCCAGGACTATCATTCTTGTGTGCAACAAATGAACACAGCATTCCGGGGGGTAGATGATCCTGCCAACAGGGTAAATATTCTAGACTGGTAAAGGACTATATTTTTGTCTCTTTTTCCCGGCACAGTTATGCCCATTGAAGTTACTTTCTACATGACAGTCAGATTTGCATGAAATGTTGAGTAATTCAAAGGGATTTTCGTCGTGCAGCATTGTTCAAGAAAAGATAAACTTTCCTTATCAATAAGCAAAATATATTCTCAGAAAATATGACTCGAATTAGACCATATGGACGTCGGTGCATAATATTTTGGAGCCAATACAGGCACCGCGGAGCAGGGGGGAGGGCTGGGGGGCTTTAGCCCTTCTACTTTTGGCAAAAAATGCCAAATAGTAAGTATCAAACTACCAGAAAAGCCTCTTTTTATACGGTTTTAGCCCCCCCCCCCCACTTTTCTCAACTGTGGCATATTCAAAGGAGGACTTGAATGAGGATGGGGGCTGGAAAAAGATAGTGAAAGTCGTTACTTCATTAGAAACAAGTTCACTTCAATCATCAACAAAGCATTTTGCAAGTCAGCATCGACATAAAAAAAAATTTCGAAAATGCTTAATCTTTTCTAGTTTCTCTGAAATCATTTATTGTAAAAATTGACATGTCAGGAAAAGGGTATGTCTGGGGACGGAGGGGGGGTGCTTATTAACAGGGCCCGCGCCACAAATTTGGAAAGTTTATCCAATGGTATAAAGAGAAGTGCTCAAACTGCAAACTCTTTCCTGTCAAGAATTCGAATTCAATACAATTTGAGCTACCTTTACCCTGGGTGCCAGAGCCACAAAATTTCGAGCACGGAAATGAAAAACCATGCGGATAAGCGGAGGATCTCCTTGAAGTTCTCAAGAAAGTGCATGAAAATTTTTTTCCCTTCAATTTTCTTACACGAAAGGTCTGTTTTTAAGCTGTGCTACTTGGGATGGGAAAGGTGAAAATGTTTTTATTTCTGAATTCTCTTTCTTGTCCCAACTTTACTTAAGATGAACAACATCGTGTTTTTTTCGCTGTGCGCCAGCGAAATAAGCAGCGGTAAATTCTTCGTCTACTCCAAATAATGATTCCATAAGTATACTAGCTTGCATGCTGTGCAATATAGTAGCAATGATAACGGGTTATGCTCGTAACGTCGCTAATTAAGAAACTTTTATTTATTCCTAGTACAATTTTATTTAAATTCCTCCATAGCTGATGACATCATTTAAATAGCCTCAACTTGAAACGTACACTACTTCGAGGTGTTTTAATAATGCTTTTTCTGGACATGTGTTGTGCAGAAATCCTGTCCGAGAAATTTGGGCTTTGGCGAGGAATGGACGAAGCTTAGAAAACTTTGTTAGGGACTTGAACTATAACTAAACTATTTTTAAAGATGCTTTCTGCTTCAAGGAAAATTGCTTTGGTAAACAATTCAATCAGACGAATATGCTTGTTTTATCGAGAAAGCTCTGCAATGGTCAGCCGGCGGCCGGCGATCAGCCAACTTGGAAGAAACAACTTATTCCCGGGTGTAGTCATTCTTACGTATCTTTGTCTAGTGTAAAATATGAAGTTATCGGCACAAAAGAAACTTTAAGTGAAGCTAAAGATGCAAATGGAAGCGAAGAATCAACTGAAAGTACTTATGATACGAGGACGAGCAATGGTAGAAATGCGCGAACCTCATTTAAATATATGGGCCAAAAATCAAATCCTGGTGTACCTGAGGGTGCAAAGTTTAGAAACTACAGTAGCAGTGACTTCCAAAATGCAAGTTCATTGAGAAAAGAGTTCAACTCGCTTCTTGAACAGCAAGGTAATTGTTTTCCTTAGTTTTTGGTCGAAAATAAAGACCTTGTTTGGTATTATATAATATTTGCCCCTCAAACAGAAGTTTTGCAGCTGCAGCTCCGTCCAGGTAATTTAAAAATTCCATGGCATGAAATTTCCATCAAAATAGCTTAAAGTTTATGATTATAACAATATAGACAATTAAAATGAAAATTGCAACTCTGTAGGGAATTTCTTGAGGGAATTTCTTAGAGAAAGAGCTTCCTCGCGGGGCTAGTTGCATGCAGGTAATGCAGATATTGTTGTGTGTAGCCATTTTAAAGTATAGCATACACCTAGAGTTATTTAAACAATGTGTTAAATACAAAACTGATATTATGACGATGCAACTAAGCAGGCCTTTACAAGTAATGCCTATGTGATGTTTTGGCAATTTTTTAAAGAGCCATGCTGGCAAGTTAAGACACATTGATATCTTTGCATAAAATCTCATTAAATACTGTCATGCAATGTTGTCTTGGTACACCTATACCCAACATGTTTCTATGCAGCAAGTTTTTTACCTGCCATTTCATGTACATTGCACAGGTGGTATCTTTTCTTAAAGGATTGATTGCTTATTGCCCAACTGGATGCAGTATATATAAATTAAAGGTACTATGTCCATATAAAAGGACAAAATAACGGTTTGCAATTGGTTAGTATTCTTGTGATGCAAAACTGCTCACATGAAAAGCTGACCTCGCAGCAGGATAGATAAACAGAAGGACCATAACGATTGGGGTGATGACATGAAAAATCACATGTTTCTAAAAACCCCCGCAGAGTCGCTTGCTTTAGCTGGACACATTACCTTTAATATATAAGTATGTCAGCATATCCTAAAGAGTGAGATATTCACGAAACAGGCTTGTAGAGATAAAACATGTATATTGTTTAATTTTCTTCAACTCTAAGCTATTTATAAATACATATAAATATAAATAGCTTGTTCTTTATCTTTGTATAATGTTAAGAACCAAAGATGAGCTGTAGTAAAAGTTCTGGTAGAGTTAAATGTTAGTATTTACAGTATTTACAGCATTTTATGCTTTCAAAGTAAAATCTCCAGACCGTATGTATTTTATAGTTTGTGTGTTAGGCATATATAAAAGCTTATGAAAGTCCAATCTTCTGTTTTATGCATTCTTTCATTTTTATAGTGGGCTGATATTCAGGTGGTAATCAGACCTTTCTCTCTCAGGAAGCAATGTATTACTTGTTTTTTTAAAATTAGAAAAGAAAAATGTTTCAGAAACAGAACAAAGGCCACAAAAATTTTTCCAAATGGTCAAAATGAATGTCAGAAGGTGGGGTTGTCCCTACTGAGGTAAGCTAGAAAGTAAGGTACTTGATGGTCTAATATGTTTTCTCATTATAACAGTAAATGAATGAATAACTTCATCTCTTTTTTAATAAAGAAATATTTTTAGGTTGCAAGCATTAATAGTCCTATAAAAATAATTTCTATATTTTTTGAGGGGCTTGCATGTTTTTTTCTGTTTGACCTGCAACTTGAGATCTAAAGACTTGTCTTTGTTTTGATTTCAGATGTCAATGTAACTCCAGTCACTGCATACCAGTTCATCCGAAATTGTGGAAACAAGATGTCGCAAGAGCCACCAGAAAGTAGAATAGCCCTTGCCCTTGAATTTTGGGGCAAGTTGAAAGACAAAGGTACTTACAACATGAAAAGGATGAATGTTCTATTCTAATTGTTAATATATGTCAGTTTTGTTTCAATGCCTGCGATCACACACGCATGCATCAGCACAGGCATGGCACCAGTAATGCGAGCAATTGATTGGAACCATGAGTTGTATATTTGACCATTGTTTTTGACAAATTATTTTCTTCAATGAAATATTGGAAGTTTTGTTTTTCATAAGCTGAGCCACATTGCTAATTCTCTGAATAGTGCCTATTTTGTCTTGCTATTGTGATGTGATGACCGAGTTGAAAAATTGTTTTGTTTAAATAGGCTAATCGCTTTGCTCTGTTCAAATTCCCCCAGAACCATGGCAGTCAGCAGGTAGTGTCCAAAACTTCTGCTTACCGTTTTTGCCGTGATCAGGGTAAATATTGATAAAATTGCTTGAAAGAAGATGAGCTTTTTTGTCAGTGATGCGGCAGGGGATGCATAGATGCACAAAAAGATTATCTTTTGACAATCAAGACTATTATCAATCCAGTGGCATAGAAAGGAAAATTCAAAGGAAGGGCCAGAAATTTAGATTTTCTACCAAAAATTTCTGACAAGAGCTTTTATTTTTTCAAAAATTTGGACATAACATCACAAAGGTCAAGTGTCATAAATCATACTACTTGATCTTTCAATCATACTACTCAATCATACTTGTCTTTTTCTCTGAAAAAAGCATTTTTAAGTACTATATATACTTTATTGAAAATGATTGTTAATCTGATCAAGAAAAACATTAGAAATCACCATATTCTGCTATCAAATTCTCTCAAAATGTAACACTTAAATATAAATAGACAACCATGTTAAACTTCCGATGTGATCATAACTTTCCCAACTAAACATCAGCTTTTCAGGCAGCTTCTTGCCCCCTCTCACCCCCCTTTATCTGCACCACTGTATCAATCTTTATTTCCTAATAGTTGTCCTGTAACATCAAATGTTCTCTAAACATACACAGCAAAAACGCTCTAGCACTCATGTTCTTTGTAAATCAAATACTTAGCTTCACAGAAAATGAAATAACTGTACCGCATGTTGCCTTTGAGGTTGAAATAAAAGCACAGCTGCACGGAATTTCAGTCGCTTTTGAGGTTTCATATCCTCTATATTAGCAACTTGAGACCCTGTTTACACTGTTTCGTGCAAGTCTGGAATCATGAAAAACAGTAATGGTTTTCCTTTAGTCAACACTAGCACTCTGGAACTGAGATGATTTTGTTCTGCCATCCAGAATAGTTTTGACCTTGCTACATTAGCAAACAAATTTTGTACTATCATGGCTCCGATTTTAATTGGGACAGTGTAAACAGGGTCTAAAATAGTGAGAAATGTAAGAGTGTGAATATCACACATGAAAAAGATAATGCATGTGGTAAACCACACACATGATGATTTCGTTATGATGAAGACTGATATGTAAGATGAAGAATATTGTCCATTATTTTTTATTTTACTTTTATTAGAGTGTGCTTTTTCTACTTGTAACTTGCACTTACTTCATGTTTGGAAAGTTATTGTACGCTACTTTTTTCTTAGGAGTTCTTCTTGAAACTACACACTACAATGCACTGCTGTCTGTTTATATTCAAAACAGACACCAATTCTCCCCTCTTGAATTTCTTGCTGACATGCAGGAGAACAAAGTGCAACCAGATAAGGTCTGTATGCATCTAGTGTTTCAATTTTTACGAATAGGGTTTTTTGGCTTCAGTGTATGTTATCAAGAATGTTGTTTAACACACAAGGAAGGACTACAGTGAATGAAAACAAATTGCTATTTGCTCAAAAACATGGAACCTGTGAGTTCTTTTCCAATCAATGTTTAAAGGATTGTTTTAGGGTCCTATCCCTTAAAATACAGCCATGGAACACTCAGTTATAAGTAAAAGGCATTACATTACTGCAAGTTGACAAGATTTTTTTTATGTTTTGTAAGTTTGAAATTAATGATGGCCTTGAAAGAGCTCCATGGGATGAAATGAAGAATCCAACACTTTTCTGTAAATCTTTCCAAATCCAAAAAATTTATATTTTAAGGAGAGCTGTCAAACCTATTTTTATATTGCTTCATATTTTATTTTTCTTCATTCAAGTTTACTAACACAATTTTTCTTCATCATATTTTTCTGTTTGGTTCAAAATCAGAATTATCATGATTTGAAATTTGATATGATTTAGACATGCAGTAAAACTACAGTGGATGTAACTTTTACATAGTCTTAAAATTGCATCTCTTATGACTTTAAGAAAAATTTTTGAAAATTAAAATTTCTAGAATTAAAACTTTGCTGTATTCCCATGTCTACAGTTTACATATTCACTGATTGTTCAAGCTTATTGTCAAGATGGAGATCTATCTGGAGCCTTGTGAGTATCAACTTTATCTATATGGTAACATTTTTAAAAGCTGCACTGTTAAAAACCATTCATATTTGAAATTTTTCAGCCATGGCACTGTAGGAAAGCCGAGCTAATGATGTTATGTTTTTGAACAAAATGAATTTGATAGTGAGATTTAAGATTCTCTCATCTCCTTTTGTTGGATGCCTATTAAACAACTTTCTGGTATTGAAACAAAAGCCCTGCCTAATGATACTTTTCATTATCTGAGAAAGACGTCTGTAAAGAAGGTATGTTTTTCTAACTCATTTGAAAAGAGAATTGGCTACCAATATCATTGTTGGATCCAGTGAGAAAGTGCTTTGAGCTGGAACCACTGTTATGAAAATACTCTAGAAAGGCGTTGCGTGATATAGATAATTGGCACGCACAAGTGTATGAGTGATTCAAGATTCAATGACATTTGCTTTTCATTCCTGTATGTCCAAAAACATTCTTAGAGAAGAAGGTATCTGTAAGCCTGAACAACCTTTTAACTGATATGAGACATGTTTTTGTACAACAGCTTGTTAAGCTTGAAACACTATTTATTTCTGTGCAGAATTAAGATGAATCTTGTTACAAATCATTTCACTCATTTGGATATTAAGTATTAGACTTATTAAGAGCATTTGTTGGCAGGGAATTTTATTTTTGTCTTTTTTCAAGGTGTTTTAAAGATTTGTTAATATTTGATTTATTCAGGAGAGTTATTGATTTTATGACAAAGCAAGAAATCCCACTATCTGAGGCAATATACACTTCTCTAATAACTGGATACAGTAAAAACAAGTAAGTTAAGCTCCAGAGACTGATTTGCATCGTTTTGAATCAGTTTTCTGCTGTTACTTTTGTATTGTTTTCCTTTTAAATGTTACTTGCTATAATTTATTAGTACCTCAAAAGGTGGGGTTTTTGATAACAAGAAGTTTTCTCAAATTTGCTTTGCAAAAAGAATATAATTAGACCAACTCTAAAAGCAGATTTGATTGTTTTGAAATAGGGCTCCTATGAAAAATTTTAAGTGCTTAGAAAAAGCTCCTTGTTTGCTGTTGTTCTAAATTATGTGGTGACATACCAACCTCTTGAGCCATTTAAGGTAACATGAATAGGGTCACAGTTGAATCTTGAAATACACATCTTGAAATCTGACATTTTGGATAAAAATGTTTACACTTGTGCAAATAGACAGGCAAGCACCGTTTGAGCCTAAAAGTGTGATAAAAGGCAATGATTTTAATACAATCATTAAGTTGTTGTTTTTTTCTGTTTTAGCAATATGGAAGGTGCACATAAAATCTTTGAAACAATGAGGTAGGTTGATAATTGAAGGCGAAACTAATAAAAGTGAAGCTGAAGATAATTGTGAATGAAAGTTAAAAGCTAAGCCTAGTACAGAACTGATTGTTACATGTATAATTTGATTTTCTTCATAAAAAAGCAATTACATAAGGGTAGAGACTTTATTTAAATGCATTGATGTACATTTTTAATGTGTCTCGGTCTTTATTGTCTAGGTGTTAGTCTCTACTGGTTTTATCAAGTGCTAAGATATTAATGTCAGCTATCTTTTGTGCCTCACCCCCCCCCCTTGGGTATGTATGTCTTTCTGTTTATGCCCCCCTTTGTGCACAGAGACAAAACCTGCCTATAAAGGAGATTATTCCTTCTTCGTTTTTATGCACTTTCAAATGACAGCCCAAATTCATTTGCAGAGAACACAACATCTTGCCACAAGTAGACTCATACACTGCCTTGATTGCTGGGTATGCTTCCCATGGAGATATGCAAGGCATCGACAAGGTATTTAATTTTAATGCTCTTTCATCTGATTTTTGAAAATTTCCTTCTTTTTTATTTTTAAGACACTAACTTGAAGTTTTAAATAGGTGTTGGGTAATTTGATATTCCATATGTATAGTGTCATATTACTTTTCAGGTTTTTGAGGAAATGCACGAAAAAGGCGTGAGGTCCAACGCATTATTGTACATGAATATGTTGGATTCATTCTGTCGAAATGGGTATTCGTCTTTATTACCAGAGGTAATGATAAAATGCTTACGGTTTAGATTTAAAGCTAACTTGTAAAATGGATTAAATGTTGGTCTAAATCTTCAGCCAACACAACAAAACGCTTGGGGTGGCCTTTGTCGTTGAGCATTTTCAACGAGGCTTCAAGAGAAGGTAAGTTTTTATACAACGCTCATTCTTCATCGTGTGAGCAGACCCTGCAGAATTAATCCTATAACGGTATGTTTTATAATGAATGCTTTTTTCAAAGCCATTGATGCCGTGTTTGAATCCCTTGCAATCTGTGCATGCAAAAGGGCTTGCCAGTTCCTAGTTTTTGCTACTGTTTTAGAACTTAGCATTTTCGTTCAATGGTAATGGTGTATATTTTCGTTTCAACGGTATTTGAACATGGGCACCTAATGGTATTTTGAATTGACAAAAATATCCTTGGTTAAAAAGTAAACTTTTGCCACAACGATTTTTAAAATTTAGAATCAAGTTGCATTTTGCTTTGTATTATTTATTTCAGGGTTTGAAGAGAATAAAACACAAGGCCCCGGTTGAGATGGGTGAGAATATTTTTGCTTCAAGTATGCAACTTAGTTGCTATGAACAAGTATACGTAATTTTATTTATCTAATAACAATTTTTTTGCGGTGTAGAATTTGAAAATGCCTTTGAAAAAAGCAAACATTTTACGACATACTAAAAGCTTTTTCGTCTGACACTCCTCAGAGCATAAAACGTCAGAATAAGGTCAACCATACCGGTCTTGTGCTTGCGTTTTTCTGATTGGCCTATTTCGATCCACAACTGGGTATATATTCTCCATCGTGTTCTTTCGGAACCTTATTCTGACGTTTTATGCTCTGAGGAGTGTCAGACAAAAAAGCCTTTAGTATGTTGTAAAATGTTCGCTTTTTTCAAAGCCATTATCTAATAACATTTTTTTCCGACGATGTAAAGGGATATTTAGACACCATGTGGTATATGTGTTTTGCTCTCATTCTTCAGGCATTTATCTAGAAATTTGAAATTCAGTGATGCAGTTTAAAAACATCTAGAATCTTTTTCGTCCTTTATAGAAATGCGCTACTTTCTCCAGCGATTAATTACACGGGGTGATTATGAAAGTGCTGCTATTCTTGCAAAAAACAACGAATTGTGGCTCACGTCAGATCTACTTCGTCAAGATGAATTCACTCCGTTGAATTTGTTTGTCTATCGCATGGCAAGAACCCAAAAGGTACAGACTTACTTCAGTTTGGATGCCTTTTTATTGGCGTTCATTCAGTGTTTTATTATTTTCTGCAACGGTATATTTATTCGAAAATGCTTTCCTCTATAACTTTTCTGCTCAATAATGGCGGTACTCAATATCATGACCATCCCTTCTGGAAAACTAAGTCACCACTGAGTCTCAATCGCCAAAAATCACTTCTTGTGGATGCTTCTAAAAGTCTTTTCAACCATTTGCCTCCTCAGCCTGTTAGTTGCTTCTTGTGCTATTTTATAAAATAGCTTGTTAGAGTATTTTTGAGGTGTTACGTTTCAAAAAATTTGTACAATATTTTATATATTACTTGATTAAAATAGAGTTGAATAGGGTCAAAATTTGTTTTCCCTATGTGTTGGCGATTATTATTTTCCATTTTACGCCCTATGTAAGGGCTATTTTTTGTCTATCAGTGTGGCATCGTGCGTATTAATCTATCATGCAGTTTTGATGAAAGGCTAAGGATAGTCGATCTAAACTTAATAAGAGATAAATGCCGTAAGCTGGATCCGTCACTGGTGCTGAACTTAAACTGTTGTCAGGCCAACACTCTTTTGGCAAGTTTTTCTTTATTTAAATAAGGAAAAAATGTATTTTCAGTATAGCTGAAAAGTAGGAGAAAGATTTTTCGACGCTGGTCTCTAAGGTTATGTCCATCATTTCAGTCATTGAATGAGCTTATCCGAGCAATGAAGGTTTTGGAAGCTCATGGCCTTACCAGAACGCCACTTGAAGATGTCTTGGATCTTTGCCATAGCCGTAAAGCTACAGGTATTTCCTTCCCACTCTCAACCCTCATGGATTCTGACTTTTATTTTGCCAAAATTCAACTTTATCGTAACAATGCCTTCATATAGTGCTCACGAAGTTTAAGCTAATCCGACCCCAAAGGGAGCTTCAGTGCCCAATGCCACCCTCTCCAGATGTTATACAGATTTTTCCATTGATGCTTTCATTTGTTTGTATTAAAAACGTGAATAGATATAGTATAGAGTTGTCTTCTCATTATGTTGAATCAAAATTTTCTTTAAAGCTGACGCAGTACAGATGCTTGATTTGTTAAAAGAAGCTGAAAGGCCAATCAAAACTCACTATGTATATCCGATGCTTGTACAGTTAGCTGAGAAAGAAGATATTGATGGTAGCTACTTATTTTCTTTAAAGCTTCTTTACCCTCTCTTTATAAATTGCTGCATAGGTGGACTCAGATTACTGTACCATATGAAGCAATTGAAACAGCAGTACCAGTTACTGTAACAGTCAATTTAACTGCGATTGTAACTTGACGATAACTGATTTTTTATTATTATTTGACGTGGATCCCAATCTAAAAGTTTTTGAAACCTTTAAGTTTCCACAAAGCCTACTGCTTTACTATCCTGTTAACTGTTGTTGTAACAAAATATTGTTAACAAAACAAGGAATGGATGAATGTAAAAGACACATGGCCTTATAAGAACGGGTTACGTTGCAAATAGAGGGGTGTAAAACGAAGAGGCGCCCCCGTTCAGTTAGAGTGCTCCTTGTACGTTAGCCAAAGTTTAAGGGCTACCAATAATTTATAAAATACCGGTAAAGATAAACGAAATGCAACGTGAGATTTTGAAAATGTGTTTTGCCATACTGTGTGATGATTGTCTAGATTTTTTAACATCTTCATGGTATTTACCCAGTAGTACACATTTTGATATGTTTAATACAATGCAACAAATTTTGTAGGAATATTTGAACTTCTAAACTACATGGATAAGAACAGCGTAAAAATTGACCCATTTGCGTGAGTTTTGCTGTTATTTCTGTATTTGATCATTTTCTAACTTATTGTCCATTGATTTCATCAGATCTCAACAAGGTTGTTTTTGCCTTGCCATTTAGTTTATTTCAACTCTACTTTCATATCATAAGACAGGAATGTCATGTTTTGACAGCTATTACTTTATTTTGACCTGGTTGGGAAGTTAGCGGTTTTTGGTTAGTTAGCGTTATTAGCTATAGTCATTTACGTGACCTCCAATACCAATTGCTATTGTCATAATTTTATCTGTATGCGTGTCATTGTATCGGATAAATTATGAGTTTCAATTTATTTAAGAACAAAAGCAAGCTCCTACAGAGAATTTTCAGAACAACTTTAGCGAAGAATATGTTTTCTTGCAGTGTACCATTTAATTTGTATGCTAGAATATTTTAATACTTAGCACTTTTTGAGGTGAAAATTTTATTCAGGGCTTGATATAATTTTTCCAGCAAACAATAAACCGCTCGCTCTTACACTCTTTCCAGTTTGTAAGAAATTTTCAATTCCCTTTTATCATTTTTTAGATTGGACTTTGCAGCTAAAGGCTTTAGAAACGATAAAAATGGTAGAATTGCTAAGCTGATGGACATAGCCAAGGCAAGTTTACTTAGAATTTCAGCTTGCTATTCCTAATATTTGCTTTGTGTATACTCATCCTTTCGAATTATTGCCCCATTGTATTTATTCTTGCGGCTTTCTGTTACCGTTTTCCATTTTTAAAAGAGTGTTCTTTTACCGTGTTCTTTTTGAATTGTATTTGCCCTTCTCTTTAAATATGCTGGATTATCTAAGCAGTTGTAGTGAAAATGACCTTGTTGATGTGACTTTCAGCATTTCTATAAATGAACGGGGTTTTGCAGATCTCTCTTTTCTTTCTTGCTTGGACGCACCTTAAAAGGCGCTTCCTTTGGTTTGTATTAGGCCAAAAAAGTTAGATTGTCTTGGAAGGCAGCTACGGAGAGTCTTGACGTTGTTTTTAACGGAAACAGCATCCAAGCTTTTATTGACATTCGTAAGTAGACAATTTCGCATATTCATAGTACATATTCACTGTAGAGACTCATCGTCCATATTTATCATCCATATTTATCATCCATATTTATCATCCATATTCATCGTCCATATTCATCGTCCATATTCATCATACAAAAAGCAAAAACCAAGCTCATTTTTATTATTGTATTTTTTCATTTTTTTGCTGAACTACATTGTTTAGTCACATCTATTTTACGTACTATACTCTCTAGAAAGTTTTCTAAATGCATAAGTTTGACTATCTACTCACTGTTTTTAGAAGCATAAGGCACTTTTTTTTACGAACAAAAGCACTGTTCTGACCACGATGCTCGTTATGATTCGAAATGTTTTTCCTTTGCTTTTAAACACCCTCCACTGTTATATCCAAACCCTGCTGCTTATTTCATGTAATTTTTGTCATTCATAGATTTTATTTATTTCCAGTGCCAAGAATCCAGATTGGAATGGTGGGGACGAAGGAAGGAGTAGAAAAAGTAACTGAATTCTTAATTAGGTAAGAAAAGACGAAAAATTTGAAATTTTCAACTTCTCAATACTGCCTTGATATTTTTTGGTGCAGTGAGTATTATCTTGTTATTGCAATAGCTATCATTGCGATATAGCTTTAGGCTAAGTTTTTAATTTTTGCGTTCAGGACTTGATGTAATCTGTTTTTCTATTTCAGGACATTTGATGCCGAGGAAACTCCTAAGGTAAGTATCTGTTTGTTATTTTACAAGATTTGCTTTTCTGTAACTTTTATATTGTTTTCTTTTTTAGACTTATTTTAAGCTACACAAACCCCTGTTTTTTTCTCGACAGGCTATAATAGCTCTTGATCAGAAGAACCTGTACAGACTTGGTAAGTGGCTTTTTGACAGTCATTTCTCACAAATAAACCTCAAAGTTACTCCATCATTTGGATTTAAGTGAAGATAAGTTTCGCTGGCCATCCGGCTAGAAAGAGTGGGCACAAGATATTTTCGAAATAGAAATGACACTATGCCTTTTCTACTTTATTTGTATCAAGATAAAATAAGGAAGTAATATAGTCTAACTTAAACCCCTCGATTTACCTCCCTTTTCGCATCCCGATTTTCGGCGGAACGAACTTTGTTATTCGAAACAAGACCACCCTTGACAAGGGCAAGCCTTGCCAAAGCGAATGAGCCGTTGCTTTTACATTTTTATCATGTTTTAGTACGGTTTCCTGGTTTTAGTTAGAATATCTGAGTTCCTTATTTTATCTTGTTTGTATGCATACTCTTTACAAAACCTGTAGAGCCAAAAGGGCTAACAAAGGTTTGGAGATCTGAGATCAATTTTTATCCAAATGCAGGCTGGGTAATGTCGAAGATTCTCGAGCAATTCAATGTTGATGATGAAGAGAAAGCCAAAGATGCCTACAGAATATTTCAGGCTCTGATTAAAGGGGTATGTCACACAGTTGTTCTATTTTTCACGTGTATTTAGAGTTTCACTTTCGTAGTTATTCTGGCATTTGTAACTGGAAGAGTGATTTGGTTTTGGATGATAACATTAGACTGGTTCTTTGTAGAATGCGGTGAGAGGACTGAATACATACTGCTACACAGTACTGCTCAATACCTTCTTCAAAAATTCAATGAGGGATGAATTCTTTGAGGTAAGATCAGCATTCGTTTAGGTTTAGGTTTATTTGTTTGAGTGTAAAAATTCACACCTAATCAAACTTTATTCTCAAGATTTTTAATTTTGGCATCCCAGTAGCCCCTCCCATTGCCCCCAGAAACGTCACCGAGGAGACTTTGGTAGGCTGTTTTAGGCAAGTTTTGGTTGCCGTTTTCTTCTATGTTTTTCATTGTAAAATTTGAGAATACTGCGAATCAAAGGTAACTGTAAGCGACTCTGTGTCTGTTTTATTTTAGCAGTCCTTTTTCAATATTCATCTAGAATAGGACGCTCGATAATGATTCTGGTGTAGATGAAAAGTAACAATTAGTACACATCTTTATATGTTTACCATATTTACAATGAAATTTACAAAGCGGCGGATCAGAGTTACTTTCTGTTGAAATGAGGTGTCCTTTCCCTTCAGATTCTTTTGCAAATAGCACGGAAAACCGAAATTAGAAGCGGAAACATGACAGGTTCTTTTGCATGGCATCTTGAGCGGTGTGAAGAATTTTTCGGCTGAAGTATTTGTCCATTTGGGGGGGGGGTGTTATTATAATGTGTCCGGTAAAGTTGAGGCTGCGCTGTATTAAGTATATTATTCCTTGTTTGAAAATATATTGAAGTATATATTATTCCTAATAAATATTTTATCTTCGCTAAAATGATCTCATTGAAAATGCGCAACCATTTCCATTCAAAGGTGGTGAATATTATGAAAGCACAGGGTATTGAACCAAACGAGGCACAGTATTTCATCATGCTGAAGGTAGGTTTCTAGAAGCTTTCGCACCTCTATATAGGTAGTTGTACTTAAAAGATTTAGGATTTAGGAGATGTATGGAAAACATCGCTAATCTTGCCGTCATATTTGAGACATATAACATTCTTTTTTTATTACTCTTTGTCGGCCACCAGTCTTTGCAGGCATGATGCTCCAGCCACCTGAAATTATACTGCTACTAATGTGTCTTTTTCTCCATTAAAAATGACGTCACGACCAAGCAACTCAGAGAGTTTAACCTTTAAGACATGTTTTCATGCGTTCTTAAGAATAAATTTTTTTGTAGATGTCATCATTAATTGGCAATAGTGCAGCAGCTCAATTTTGCTACGACAAGTTAAAGGTGCGTTATCAATACTATTATGAAAGGGTAGTTATCTTTGTTAATTGTTAAATGTATATATACAGAAGCATTATTTAATGGCGAAAGTATGTATGCAGAAAAATTTCCTAATTGAGAAAGTATATATTTGAACAGACCAATTTGAATATTCGTTGAGTGTTAATGCAAGTTAACTTTTCCTGGAATAAAAAAGCATTTAGTCATGAATAAAACATTTTTGTTCAGGGAAACAACATGTCCTTACTAAAATGTTCCTGCAAGAATAAGAAAGTTAAAATTTTGTGGAATATTGTTCATCAAGCTTTGCTTCTATAACTCTGAATGTTTATTTGTATAATGTGCTTGCCTGTGAGTTTTGCCAGTGAACGGAGTGCCATGTGCCTTTGGATTGTACAAGTATTAATGTGACGGAGAGAAGGCTCTTCGAAAGTTTCTTGCTTTCTTTTTATTACCTTTAATTTGTAAGTGTGTCTGTTTCAGGGCAAACAAGAGCCCACCGAAGCTCAGTATAACGCGTTGCTTATTGCGTACGGAAAAGACGATGGCAAAGGGAAATCATCAGATGAACCAAATTTTCAGGTAAATTAATTTTAACACACGACAATACATTTTACATTTTATCTTTGTTTATCCTTTACCACTTTAATTGCATTATCCACTTACTTCCTGTGGTTAGGCAGCCCATGGGCGTTTATTGAACAAGGAGACATTGATAGAGGATTGCTTTTTCGGGAGAGAACTTGTTTCAAATGTTTCAAGGAAACGAGCGACTAGCAGATTTTTTGTCATTATGTTCCCGAGAATTTCCAGATTATCAGAATCAAAGAAATTAGAACAACGTTGGTTTTAAAACTCACATACGTTTTCTTTTATTAAAACTTATTTTTACAAATGGTAAATTTACAAAGTACTTTCGCAAGTATAAGTAGATGTTGATTAATTCTTACTGCTTTGTTCCTCAGTATGCAAAGAAAGTTATTTCATTGTATGAAGAAATGCGAGAGCATAACTACCGGTTAGTAGTTTTGTTATCGTTCTCTATGCAGCTTGATTTAAGATGTTTTCATCGTGGTTAGGATTTTTGTCTCCTTTGCATGAGATCGTTAGTGCGAGGCCACTTATCGACCATCCGGGAAAGTACTTTCGCAAGTATATCAATTACAGGTTTGGCAGTTTTTATTACAGTTATCAGAGGGTGGGGTGGTACTGCCTTAAATTCTGGTTGGAGCTACCCATAAGTGTATCAAGAATGCAATAACGGGGCCGAGAGAAGGAACATTTGTGGGGGGCGGGCAACAGCGAAAAGCAGCATTAGGCTTACAATTTCTAGAAGGCAGGAGGGGCAGCCAATAATAGCTATTGCCGTAGACCAAGTCCTAAAAAGACAATTTTCTAATAGATTGTATTGGTAAATAGATTTGCATATGTTTCTCTCATTGCAGACCACTTGGATTGTCTGTTTCACAGACCTTAGTAGCCTACACCAGTGTTGGCAAATACGAAGAGGCGGAGGAAGTAAAAAAGTAAGTAAATTTGGCACCAATTAGTTTTTCTCTTAGAACATAGTTTTTATTGGCCTTCTTATCAGATAACAATAAATTTTCTTGTTAAGAATACTTTGTGAATAGTAAGACTGCTAAGAGCCTGATAAATGTGACGATTAATATGTAGACTTAATATTGTCTGCTTAACAGTATTTAACTACGACAGTCTTTAATTTGCAAAAAGTATTTTTGTAATGTTCAAGGAAAGATTTTTTCTTGTCAAGTAAGTATTGGAAACACCAAGAAGGCTTGACCTGCGAGTATGTTCTAGCTAAAAATTTGTCTTTAGAATACCTAATGTTATAAAAAGAATATTTTTAAATTTGCGTGAATATTGTGAATATCTCTACCTTGCCGATGTAAGTCTTTTTGAGTTTGACGATATTTTGTTTTTTAGATTGTTTGGACTTGGTGTTGAATATAGAAAGTATTCTGTGTACAATGAATATATCAGGATGTTTGCCAAACAAGGAAAGCCTGAGGGTTGGTTTTAACCTCTTTAAACTTACTTTTTGGTTTTTCGCCAATTTTCTCTATAGTCCTTGGTGAAACTAATTGTCTTTATATTAAGTGTTGCAAAGAGTTAAAGAGTATTTTCAGCCAGTGATCTAAATCAAAGCCGCATTGTCTTTTTTCAGAGGCTGAGAAAATTTTCCAGGAAATGAAGGATTCAAGCAACAAGAACTTAATTTCTCTATTTACGTTTAATCAACTTATTGGCTGTCACAAACAAATGGGTAATCTTTATTTATGTTTTTAGCTTTTTTCTGTTGTTTTAATTTGAGTCCATCGGACTAGATAATTCTCAATAAAGTATATCTCAATGTTTTAATACTTCTTTCAAACAGCATCTTATGCAGTTTGTCAGTTTACACTTACAGGGTAGAGCTTGCTAGGCAGAGCAAGAAAGAATGATACAGCATCATCATGAACAGACGATCAGTAAATCTTTAGACTTTGGTTTTTAAATAGCTTTGAAAAAAGCAAACATTTAGTAAACTAAAGCTTTTCGTCTGACACTCTTCAGAGTTTAAAACGTCAGAACATAGATCGAAAACTCTACGCTAAGAAATATATATACCCAGTTGTGGATCGAAATAGGCCAATCAGAAACACTAGCACATGACTGTAAAGGTTGACCAATCAGTGCCGCTTGCCTATTAGAATGTTACCAATGGAGTCCTAAGGTGAAAACGAACTCCTTTTGTCTACACAGTAGCGGTTTTTTCGTGCTTATGTAGATAGATTCTAAAACTGCTAGGTGGAACGACGATCGGGCTTTACCAATAATCCGAAACATGTCGCCATGATAGTTTTTTGCACAAACTGGGTTTTCTAGCAAATGCTGCCCGATAGCAGAATCGCAGGTCAACCTTTACAGTCATGTGCTCGTGTTTCTGATTGGCCTATTTCGATCCACAACTGGGTATATATATTTCTTAGCGTAGAGTTTTCGATCTATGTTCTGACGTTTTAAACTCTGAAGAGTGTCAGACGAAAAGCTTTAGTTTACTAAATGTTTGCTTTTTTCAAAGCTATTTACAAGTTTTGTACCACCAAAAGATACTTTGGTTTTTATTTGTCGACATTTTATTTTTATCTATATAGTTGATATTTATCTATATAGTTGATCCTTGCTGATTTTTGATCACTTTTTAGGAAATATTGATCGCGTTCTTGAACTGGTCAAAGAACTAAAGGATTTTGGTCTTACCCCAAATCGCATCACGTATTCTGAAGTTGTCAAGACGTTTCTTCGAAGGTGACGCATTTTCACCTACTTTTTGATACTTTTTAAAGTATATTTTTAGTAACGATTCCCCAGACTGAAGACGCTTTGGACCCTCCCATTTATGATATCGATGTATCTAACTCAATAAATATATTTATCATGATGACTTTCCAGCTAAATTATCAACTCAATTTATTTATTTGAAATTTATTAATTGAAGATCTTCGCTTTCGTCACAGAAATGAGCCTCACAAAGCTTTGGAAGTTGTAGAAGAAATTCAAGATGTAGAACGGCTTCCAAGCACAAACATTCTACTGAGTCTTGTCACTGACTTTTTTGAAAGAACTGATGTAGAAAGTTGTGAAAGAGGTGACGAAGCCCTAATACACTTAATCTACCTGCCTTTTATATTTCGCCATGTTAAATAGATTATGATGTAAGCATGTGGTTGCTTTTGGTACATGATGTAAGCAGTTTTCATGCTTTCTAAGGCTTTTCTTTCTGACTTTTTACAGCCATTGCTTTGGTTCGAAAAAGAAATATCGATGAATGGGCGGAGCAAAGACTAAAACATGTTCTATTAATGAGTTATCTGAAAGACAATAATTTTACTGCTGCTAAAGACATTGTAAACAAGGTTTGTGCTCCTATTTCAACTTTAAATAGGTTGTATAAAAACATAAAAACATCTTGCAATGTTTCTGCAATATACTTTTGACGAAGATGTTAATGAGTTCAAAATAATGGAAAAAGGAAATAAGCATAAAGCATCTAATGCAAACGGCTATTTTTATTATGACTCGGGTTACACCTTGGCATTTTCTTTGCGTTATTATTTTTAGTTTTTACTCTTTTGAATTTCTAATTAAATCGTTAAGCCTTATTTATGATTTGTAATGTGAAGCCTTAAATATTTCTTAATTGGAATTTCGGTTACTATACCCAAACCAATCATTTTGTTGTTGTTTGCTCAAAGAAGTGACTGAGAATATTCGCCCATTGGTCTTGGGAGAGCTACACACTTTCATTTTTTTTCATGTTATGCCATTCTGTGTAGGCTTTTGTGTTTTCTCCGCGTTCTTTCCTTTCATTAACCTTCCATGTTTTTATATAAGCAAGCATCTTGTCTCTATTTTTAGGTTGATTTTCGTTTAACTCAGAGACTAATCATGGCTGCTCTAGGAGGAACATACAGAGATGTGAGTTTTGTTTGAAATTATCTATTTCTACCATGCTTCTCTTCATTGTCTCATTTTTTTCTAAACAGAACAGGAGACTGAAACTATCATAATGATATAAGTCGTGATTTACAATAAGCCTTTCTTGGTAATATTTATTCCCTTTTAAAAAACTTTTAAATTACTCGTACTTTGTAAATATATTTCGACTTATCAAAGCGGAGGCTTCCCCATATGTGGCCATGTTTCCAGTTTTTTCAGAATTAGATCTACTCAATACGACATGGTCTTTTGTTTTGTAATTGAAATTTCGAAAATACTACAGTACTAAAGGACAGCAAAAGGTAGAAAGCTGAACTAGCTTGTTATGTTGTCATACCAGGTTAAACTTTAAATACTTATAATGCGGCAAGTTATATTTGATAGACACAGATCTACATTCATGTAACACTAAGCCCGCTGATGAGGGCTGATCAGAAGTAGCCAGGCATACACGTCAAAGCTTGGTTGAATGTCTTCCAGGTTACCTTAGGAAATTATTCGCATTTTGTACACGTGAACAATATTTTTGAACGAATAATTTGAACGATATGTGCTTTTGCAAGTATCATCACCTTTAATCTATGAGAGGATTTTTTAATTTCCTTTATTTACTGAAATATTCTCTTACACAGATTGAATTTCTCCTGAAAGTGAAGAATTTCTTGAAGGAAAACAGTCTCAATTACTTTTTGATGGACCTTGCCATTTTGAATTCATACAGTAAGCCTTTTTCAACATTTCAATGGAATATTTAAATTAACCAAAATCCATTTGAGTTGAACAAGATTTCGTTTCAACAGAACTAAAAGTGTCGTATTGTTTGCTAAAATCTGAGATGTCAATTTATGCTGTTTCCAATGTATTTGAGGCAATTGAGTATTTATGATTTCCTTTGTTAAATAAATGAAATTTTAACAGCACTGCCTATATGTGGAGTGAAAGTCTGTGAAAATTTAATATGAATGAAAACAATCAGTAGAAAGGTTAAATAGGAGAGACAGTTGTTTACATGAAATTGCTTGCTTGAGTTAAGAGAAGTCTTAGCATCCTAGAACAGGAGACAAATAGCAAGAAGAATCATTAATATCAAAGTATATGTTGCTTCTAGTGATTTTGCAGTTTCTGATGTATGTATGTATGTATTTATTACAATAAAGCCCTAAAACCATTTTAGACCCTGCAGCTATAAGGTGATGTTTATGCTTTTTTTGTTTTGAGACGAAAATGTTTCTCTTCATTCAGTGGATATCATATTCTTTTTTGAAAAACATTTGTTGTTCTTTATCTTGTTAACTCCTTTAGTTGCTTAACAAAAAAATTGTGGTTTTTCATTTGATTGAATTCTCAAAGGTAAAACATCTTCACCTTCCTAACAGTCTGTCATTTCACTTCTAGTTGCTTCAAATGACGCTGATTCAGCATTAAAGCTGTATGAAGAGAAGCGAGAAACAGATTCAGCAATGACAACTTATTTCTTAACAAAGCTTGCAAACTTTTTAACAGCGTCAGGGCGAGAGGTTCCCTTTGACGTTAGTCTGCTTAAACAGGCAAGTTATAACATTTTTCCAAATCGAACCAAATTGTTTTCCGAATTTCCAAATTCTATTTTTGATATCAGTATTTTGTTAGTTTTTGCCATGAAAACTTTTTTTAAGATAAAAAATTGTCTTTTTTACAATTTTTAGATAAAAAAGATAACTAATATTTGTAAATTGTTTTTAAATTTCACGCTGATCTGCTTTAATAATAATAGCCTTACAGGTTTCCTCCAGAAGACTTATCAGCTTTGTTGCGTTCTGTTTTGAACCAACTTGTAAACATCCAATCATTTTTTAATCATTTTTAATTTCATTTTTTTCTTCCTTTACCTTGAAATTCAGTTTTTGCTTTGATAATTATACGCCGTTGGGTTTTTTTTATATTTCATTTTACCTTTGGTTATATGATTTCACGCGTGTTTTTATGATTTTGTCTTTTTCTTTCATGGTAAACAGCTGAGCCCAGAGAAGTCTTTTTCGTTCTTCCAGACAACAGGCTAAAGATGTGAAAAACTTGTGGCATTTTAGTTTCTATTTTTCTTTGGTTTTCCTCCTGGTTGTTGACCGTGGGTTGTTGACCGTGGGACCAGTTCAGTTTCTGCTTAAGCCATCTCTCAATGAACCTTTGACCAATCAGTGAATAAGCATGTGAGTGGTGTCACGCTTATTTAATGGCCAATTTTGATTCACAGATGGCTTAAGGAGCTTTAGTATCTGTTGGTTGCCTTTCAGTTAATTGTGAATAAAAGTATTTCGTTAGATATTAACTGAATGGTGATAATTTTCTTCAACATATTTCAAATTTAATTGTTGTAATTTCCTTTCACAGCAAAAGACTCAGGTAGTCAAAGATGAAGAAACCTTTATTGATGAAGTTGAAAGTAATGAGCAAACTGAAGAATCTCTAAACACTGACACCACTCTATCTCAGGATCAAGATATACTTCGGTCAGAAAAGAATGATTAGTGTATGTTTTGTTAAAGCTTTTCCCTATCGCAGCATGTATTGTTCAAGTGTGTCCGTTTTAGAGTATATTTTTGAATTCATTTCTTATCATTCGCGAAATATACGTGTTTTGTTCCTGAGAAGGATCTTTAGAACTTCACTGCACAACACTAAAACCTGGTTTCCCTGTGTTTGTACCAGTCATGTTGATTGTGTCTGTTGTGTGGAACCCGCCGACGCTTGTGGCTCTTTGGTTTCCATGTTACCATATCTGTTGCTTCTGGTCATAAGCACAAGGCCGGAAACTTGGGCAATTGTTATTATAATGCGTGTCACGTTTGAACGAAAACGGGGGTGCTAAACGATTCAGATCTTTACTTAATATTTCATGCAAGTTTTACGTGCCAAATTCCTTAACAGGTTCAGCTTCTTGTGACGCCTTGACGACAGCAAAACACTGCATTGTGGCATTCATTTTGCATCTGTACTGCGTATCCTATCATGTTGACTCTGCACGTCATTTCTAGAACTCATGTGACTCATATCCTGGTTGCATGTGTTGCATTCGTCGCATTTAGCTACTGCACGTCATAAACATGCAACAAGACCTATCTTCTGGAGCTGTTATATGCAAGTGCTCAGTTGCGAGTCATGTACGCTCGCATATATGAAAAAGCCTCGGAAAAACGTTTCCTCTATGATTAGTCTTCTAGAGTTTGGTTTTTACTGTGGTACATTTGGGCAGAACTCTAGTGGCAGATGCTCTATATAATTAACCGCGAAAGTTATCTATGCGTTTTTCTGAGAACATTGATCAAATAAGGCTACATAAGGGATGGGTAGTTTGTTACAAGTAAAAATTTCTACATTTTCTGCGAATTGATATCAATCCAGACGTTTATTTCTGTTTTAATTAAGGTCAGAAATACTGCTAACAAATTCAAAACCCATTTTGGTTGGGATTTTACACCGTCCACTGGACAACATGGGCTATCTTCCTGAAGTATCAGGGACGGATTCGAGAAAATGCTTTTTAATGTCTGTTCCGAGAACAAAGAAACTTTGTTGCTAGGGAACTACGATTGTGATTACAGTAAAGCGAATATAAGGCCCCGTTTACTCTCGGGGTAGTCGTTAAAACCGTGGGATGGGGGGAGGGGGGTACCTTAACATGTTTGAAGGTACGGGGACGTGCCATTATTTAGAGGTACCTTTTTTCTGAAAAGTAGGGAATTATCGGTATCAGTTTTTGAAATTTGTGCGGAACTATGGGTACCATTTGAAGAAACATGCAGAATTATGGGTACCATTTTGGGAAAAAGTATTGCAAAATTATTAGAAGGGAGATTTAGCATTAACAAAATGAATGTCCAGTTAGAAATGAAAGTGTGAAATATGTGTAATATTGAGATTTTGGGGCATAGGACATGCAAAATTTGATTGATGACTTTTATGTGCTTTAAAAATTTCATTTGCTCTGCCGAATTATGGTTATAGTTTTGATCATGTTTGCGGAATTATGTGACACATTTTATTCAGACATTTGCGGAATTATGGGTCCAAAATTTGAACCAAAATGGCACGTCCCCGTCCAAAATTAGGCATAGTTTACCAAACGAGGTTAAAATCCATAATTGCAAATTTTGGTTTCCATCAACAAGTCACTACCTCAACGAGGATCGACGAAAGTTCGGAGTCCTTGATTGATTTAGTATTATCAAACATGCCACGCAATATTTGCCAGACTTTGTTTTCAAATCCTGCCTAAGCGGAATCAGGTTCTCAAGTCTCAAGATGCAGTAATTACATATGCATTCGAAAGCATAGGTTCCAAATCTTTGATTGGCTAAGCGACCAAAATTCTCCATAGCCAGTTAACCTATCAGAACTCAAGAATATGACAACAAACGTACCTCGCAGCTAGATTTAGGTCTATTTTGCACGTTTTTACAATTACCCACAAAAAATAAACGTGTACGATGCAGTAAAAGATAACCAAAATTATTTTTGAAAAACTTATTATTTGATAAATTTATAAAAAAATACCGTTGCAGTCATTAAAAATTTTTCCGCGATAATTTTTTACGAAGGTTTGGAATTGTCCCTTCCAAACCCTTTTAATAATAAGGGGGGGGGGGATACAGAATTATCACAGTTTTTCAACCTTAAAAAGCGTTTAATCGACACAATTATCAAATATGAACTCACCTTTGTAAATTACTGTTCTGATCTTTACATGTCAGCATTGAGGCTTGTGTGACTGACGGAATAAAACGCTAATTTCCACTAAGAGAAATTTCAGCCCTTCCTTCTCAAAGAATTGCGAAATTGTACAGTTTCTTTTGCACTCAAGTACTTTCTATATTAATTTTAAAGACTTGAGGATCGATGAGAAGCTCACGTCCACTGATGTTCACTGCTACGGCCTTTTGAAAGCTGACGCAATTCGTGAACGATAAAAAGGGCGGGAAATGGAATAGGCATCATTTACAAAAAATTGCTTTTTGTGTTAAACATTTCATTATTACGATCAAGGAACCTTATGAACCTTTTTCAGACAACCAGAAAGTTTCTTAACGCAAAAGAGGTAATTTCCGTAAATGATGCATAGGCTATTCCATTTTCTCGCCTGTGGAGTACTTCAGGGTTCAATTTTGGAGCCTCTATTGTTCCTTATTCATATTAATGATTTAGCAAGAATTGTAAAAGAATGTAACATCCAAGTGTATGTTGATGACACAGCCATTTACGTGTCTAATAGAAACATCGGTCGGATGGAAGAAGCTCTGACAATTGATATGGCAAACATTGCAAGATATTTATAGAGCAACAGGCCTATCATAAATCTAGAGGTAAAACAGAAGCCATGCTTTTCGGCACTGCCAAAAAACTACACTCTAAAAACGATTTAAAGATCTGGATAAATGATCACTTCATATTACCACTTTGTGAGTGGTTGCAAGTATCTTGTAATGCTTTCGGACCCTCGCCTGAATATGAATGCATTTACAAGTGATCTCAAAAAGTGCTGCAGCACGAATTAAGGATTGAAAAGAACAAAACAGTCGCTAAATGGTCATGCAGCTGAATCCATATGCAAAGCAATTGTGTTGCCTAAAATGCTAAACAGCAATGTTAAAGATCTCTGTCACAACTGGCAAAATATTCGAAAACTTTCAAAAAAGAGCCCTGAAAATCATTCATCGGCGTCCTCAGTGCTATCAAGAAAGTGGATTGATGACCATATTAAACCATAAGAAATTTAAGGTAGATCTGCTGATGTTTAGGTGTTTGCAAGTACCTATAGTTGAAAAGTTAGCATCCTATGGCGAAATAGTTAGCCACAATTACGATACAAGGAGCAACAAAACTACATTGCGTGTTCCAAGGGTCAGGAGAGAAGCCGAAAAAAAGTCCTTCTTGGTTTGGATCACATGGTTCAAAGGCCCATCTTGTTTTAACGAAATACCAGTTGACATTCGAAGCTTCAACTCCATCGTTGTTTTTAAGCATGAACTTGAAAAACATCTGGAAGGATTTTAGTTGCTTTTTACCTATTTGAGGATTTTAGAGAAAGAAACCATAAATTTAAATGTCGAAGGACTTTTTAGCTTTTTACTATGTATAAAAATGATTAACTTTTCTTAAATTTCTCTAAGTTTTAATCTTAAATAGGGTCCTTACAGCTTACAATACTTGAAGTAATGATACGGTTTAACAAATATAAATATTTCTCTTATGATCACTATCTTGCCAGCAAAACCCTTATTCTTTAAGAACACATCGATCTTGAACATTTTTTGGTAGCTTAATTTGTAGGACTAGGAATTTCTTGCGTCGATTCTAAAAGACTGAACACTCCAAGAACAGTCTGAACACCACAAGAACACACTAAGAACAAGCTATTAAGCGGCTGAACACCCTTTAAACAATATCAAAATCGGCATATCATTCGAAAGATAATTTGGTAAATTAATCAAGATTAATTTTGGGGCGGGAAGGGGCCTGATAAGTCTAATGCTGTTAGTGTTGTTACAACCAACTTATGTTTTGCGCGCCAAAAGTGTGAACTACACGATACCGGATTCACTTCATATCCGGTCACGAAAGTGGTATGAAACCAATCCGATATGTATCGGATTGGGTAAAGTGCTCGTGTAAACGATCGGATCCGGTATCAACTTGCTCCGCAACCTCAGTTACAACCTCTGTGACCTCAACCCCGCGTTTGGCGCGTTTTTCAACAAATTGTGGTTTCATTAAGAAAACAAGATGGATGCTGATAAAGAGAAATTTTTCTTTACTACAGTGGTCGGTCTTGCACACATTTTTCAGATAAGTAGCCACCTCATGGATCTTTTTTCAAGAGATTCCTTATCTTTAAGAAGACTTCACACTCCCCCATTCTTTCCCCTCGAATTGAGAACTCGCTGCATGCGATCTCATAGTCTCTAGCAGCAGCTCAATTTCTTGCTCAGTCCAGAAAAAAATTTTTCCTTAACTTTCTTCCCTGCTCCCGCCATTTTTCTGTTTCAGTGACTCACATCCAGTGCTCTCGTGGCAGGTCATTTTTTGGCGCGGCTCAGAGACCAACGCAGAGGCCCCGAAACAAAAGAATGTTTAGTGTACATCGGAACGGCGATCAATGTAAACACTAATTCGTTCACTAATAATTCCATCCATCGACTATCGTGTCATTTCCAAACCTAGCGAGTCTTATTTTACGTGCAGAGAACACGGAGCCAGTGAGAGAGAGAGAGTGTGTTGCCTGTGTAACTCTGATGTGAACTGAACTGACTGACTTACATAAAAATTAACATGCTTATATACAGAAATGAATATCTAAAATTAACACTAATGATGTAAGGAAAACAATACATAGGTTGGGAGAGGCAAGGTGACGACAGATGATCAAAGGAGAGGAAATGTCATGTGGGAACAGCAGTGTTTTGATGCTGATGATCGTCATGGTGATTAATGATGATGATGTCGTAATTGCCTGTTGGGAAATGTCTTGCGTGTTAAGTGGAATGTGTTGAATAGGCAGAAACGAGTGTATGGCGTAGGATGGAAAATAGGCCTAGGCAGGGTCACTACAAATGCACCCCGCAGTGCGGAGTAACTACTCTAAGGTCCTTAATAGAAGGGGGGTCTTGATAGTTGGGGGGGGGGGGGTCAGAAATTTTTCAGAAAATAAATAAGCGGGGGGCCTTAGTTAGTGGGGAAGGTCGGAAATGTGAAAAATCTGAAAAATCACGCTATGATTCTTTTTTGGGGTCAAAGAGATTTTTTTACGAATACAATCGATAGCAAAATGACAATTATCACCATGTAATAATGTATTGTTGTGTTACTAAAATGAGCAGGCTAATCATCATTGTGTACATCAGTCAGGCCTATGTAAAGTTTTTTAGGATGTCACTACTTTTCTATGTTAAAACTTTTGTACAGTGCAACCTCTTCATTTAAGAAAAAACTTTACAGAAATTTAACACCTGCAAGATCAAAGGACAAATGAAATAAGGGATATGAATGACTGCATATAAAAATTAATAAACGGGGGGTCCAAATAAGCTCCGGGGGGTCAGAAAAAAATCAAAAAATTTGTAAGCGTCCCCCCCTTCTTTTAAGGACCTTAGAGTACTGTCGTGTAAACAGGAGCCCTGTCTGGTATGGAACCAATCCGATACGGTGCAGCGAATCCGATATGAAATGAATCCAGTATCGTGTAAACGCAGCCTAACACGCAACATAATCAAAACATTTAGCTTAACATAATAACAATAATTAGTAGAGAGTGTGGGAAAATAACCAACCCGAGCGAGGCTCGAACTCACGCCCCTTGACTTTGTACGTCAAGTGCTCTACCGCTGAGCTATCGGAGATAATAATAATATTTACTGAAGAATGCAAATCCTAAAACGTTACACTCGCCATAGTTGTTTTCTTTAACCTTAATTGTTTCTATGCTTCTTCTAGTAACTTGAAAATCGAATGAAATCTAGTTCCCGAGCCTTTTCAACGAGGAATAAGTTCAAAAATGTGGAGTTGTTTAGATAGATAAAGCGGTTCTCTGCTACAAAAGAATGAACGAGTCTAGTGTTTTGCATTTCCGAATAAACATTCATTTTCATAATAATTGATAAGGACTGTAGTTGTTGGCTTTAAGCTCCAATTGACATCGAGTCAGTAGTTAAAAGCTTGTCCGACAAATGAAGTTGTTTAAACCTGGTTCAGCTAGAATTAACTGTGATTAAAACGATGCTTCACCGCTGCATAAATAGATCGCACTGCCCGAAGTCAAGAGCGGAAGTTTTGCGTGACAGCAGTTGAGATTCGAGTGAAGTTTCAACATGGTTACAAGAAAAACGGTCATTGTGCTCGTTGTAGGGACATTATCATTTGTAGTGTCGTTTGTTGTGGGGTATCTTGTGCGAAGAGCTACATACACCCCAAAATGTTCCGCGCCATCAGTGAGCAGTGCAGGGAGATCCATGGCGCAAAGACAGAAAGACTGGGATACGATTGTCAAGAAGATAGATGCGTCGAAAATTGACGCAAACATGAGGTACGCTAACTTTATCTTCATATTTCCATTTGGTAAAACACATAGTGGGCCTTACATTTGTATTCATTTATATTTTGTATTCATGCAGTTAAAAATGTTTCATGCAGTTAATTGTTCTAATTTAAAATTTCTAGTAATTGTATTTTAAATCAGTATATTGTAATTAATTTGTTTGCTTGCTGAGAAAGATTTCAAGTTTGAGTTTGAGTTTGAGTTTAAGTTTGAGTTTGAGTTTCGTCTACCCACAAAATCGATGACATTATAATGTTTTGATAATAATATGATTTTGAATCTTACGGCCTATTTATGGAATTACTAGTCCACTCCACTGAATATTTGCTTCTTATGTCTCAATTTTATTTTATTGACGAATCAATGACGACTCTTTGTGCCAATTTTGCGAACGAATCAATCATTTGATTTTCAATGGAGAAGCCCGGGGAAGTATTTTCATGCCAACAGCGACCCCAAACGATAAGCCGCGGTCTAACCCTTAACTTTGTTCTCTGCCGCCTTAAAAAAAAGACTGGTCAGTACAACTGTTCATGCTCACCACAATCGAAAAACAAAACTACACCGATAAAACCTCTTTAACCTAACATTATCCTGACATGTATCTATTTAGCTTATAAATTTCTATGTTGCTTTTGCAAACACAATCATTATATTATTATACTGTTTTCATTTTAGTAAGCATATCATCATCTTTAACGTACTGTAATATTTTTGGTTTGTAAATTTTGAACTGTTTTTGAATGACTTCTCCTGCTTTCCAGATATTTGTCCGCGAAGCCTCACGTTGCTGCCTCTCCAAGAAATAACGAGCTTGCAGATGAAATTGCGAGAAGATTCAAGTCCTACAGCTTTGATGTTGAAAAGCAGCATTATAATGTCCTGTTGTCGTACCCTCGTAAAGATCGGCCTAACTATGGTTACATTATTACTGATACCAATACGACAAACTTTAAAACCCAATACATTGAAGATATCCTCGATCCAGCGGAAAATTCCTCAGACGCCCTACAGCCATTTAACGCTTTTGGTTTAGCTGGCAATGCAACGGTTTGTGTCACAACATTAGCTGATATGGAGTTTTTAAGTGATCATGTCACAAAACCTAACTTAAGAATTTTTAATTTGGATCACATGACCTGCAAGGGCATGATATAATACATCTGAACTTACAAAAATATCTTATTATACATCATAGGATACATGTGATCTTATAACTTAAATGTTGTTCATGTTTTACGAAGCAAAATGGTCTATCGTCACATTGCAATTACAGAGAACAGTTACACTCATTTTTTATGAGAACTCTAAAATTTATCTATCAATTCAATCAGAAGCCTCTACATTTTTAAGAAATTTGTGTTTGAGCCTGAATACATTCTTAAAGTATTCTTATTCTTTCAAACAGTGCCTAATTTAAGGGACTTTCACAATACCACTAATTATGCCTAGAAATGTTTAGCCCCCTCTAGGGGGGCCCAGAAAATGCTTTTCCGAGATCTAAAATGATTGGAATATGATGTGAAAAAAACACCTCATGGAGGAATGAAATTTACATTTACTTTTAAGTTTCTTTAATAAACATAACCCATAGAGAGTCACAACTAAAGCCCTGTTTACACTACACAAACTAACCTGGGTTCGCCGTAGGTTAACAGTTACCCGGGTCGAGCCCTAATGCGTTTACACTGGAAACTGTCAACTTTGTAGTGTAAACGGAATCAAGGGCGAACCTGGGATAGTTTGATATCGACGCATGCGGAACAAAGACAAATTGAAAGTGAGGATAAACAAAATGGCGTGCATTGTGTTTATGAACTTTACAAAATACATTAAATCCACTTTACAAACAATTATTCCCAGTTTTCTTCTCAGGCTCATTTATACTAGAAACAAGCCTTTTCTTTTCTTCACTTTCGTCAATAATTTTTTTAACCAGTTTAGCATTTTGAATATGTAAGGAAATAGTCAAATAGAATTTAAATAAGTTTCATAACAACTGAACTACTGCAGTCATTCAGCATTCCAAGGATAGATTCAATAGGCCATATTGAGATTAACTCAAAGGAGGCTACAAGGCTTATTATTGGAGTGAGGCAGACTCATGGCAGATAAAGAATAGTTTGTAAATATTAAATAGCCCGTGGCCTTTTCACAGAATAATGTTAAATTACGCTGTCTTAATGTTATTCCAGTGTTTTCATAAAATTACAGACTTTCTTAATGTTATTCCAGTGTTTTCATAAAATTACAGACTTTCTTAATGTTATTCCAGTGTTTTCATAAAATTACTGACTTGCTCATCAGTAAATGATGGACTGCTATATTTGGCTAGATCAACTCCAGACATTATGTCAATCTGAAAACAATATTCCGGGAATCCTTTAGCTATTTAAGTGGCAAAGCAAGGTTCAATATAAAGATTCGAAAAACCTCGTTTCAATTTCAAGAAAATCCTCCCACTAATTCCTAATTTCAAGACCACAATTTGGATTTTCAAAACCACTATTAGAGTACAAGACCACAGTAAATTAGGCACTGCTTTCAAATCTTATATGGTTTAAGGGGAACAGTTAAAATAATTTTAAGAGATTTTCAAAGGACCTCAGAGGCAACTGTTAAAAAATGAGACGCAAATATGCAAGCTGAGGCTGAGCAATAATCTTACAATATTCTCATCAATTGTAAGGTTTTTTTATTCTCATAAAGGTTTACACATAACATACGTAGGTTTCCTGACAATGCCACTTGGAGCATGGAAATACGTAGCCACCCTTCGACCATAACATTTAACATAAAGGTTCAACACAAATTATAATTCTGAATATTGAAGATAACATATTATAAATAACAATTGCAGAAATTATCAAAATATTTAAAAGATTGTGAGCCTGAATGTTCTTAATAAAGACATGTTTCCTATAAAAGAGAGAGTACATGAGATGAAAATAAGCATGTAGTGACGAATATTTGATAGGTGATCTTCTCATCTAAACGTCTGAAAAATGACGTGCCTTAGATTGTCATAATGATCTTATTATCTTTAGATTCTTATAATATTGCTTCAAAGGGTATCTCAATACTGATTTTCATAGGGGGATTTGGTTTATGCAAATTATGGCCGCGAGGAAGACTTTGCTATGCTGAAGGATCATTTCAAGGTGAATTGTACTGGAAAGATTGTCATCGTGAGATATGGCAAAGTATATCGTGGAGCGAAGGTATGGAAATAAGATAGCTGACAATATTTGTTATTTGATATGGTTTTGGAAAAAACATTAATTGAAGTCTCAATTTAAAGGCTGGCATAAGGCAGAAACACTGCGATTCTCAGATAGAGTGATTTTATCTGTGTGATGTAATGTAGTGGAATGGGATCTACTATATGACTGTGTACAGTAACTGTCACCTCTTCCGTGTATAAACGAAGTTTGATACATTGTCTGAGACTGAGACGCCAGATGTAGGTCTCATTAAACAAAAGAGGAACAATTAGCGAATACGAAAGTAAGCGTTCCTGATAATCTATGCATGCAGTAAACAATTTTCCTTCAGAAACGTCTCACATGATTTCCACCGTATCATTTTTGTCTAAGACGATGTCTTTTCAATGCTATCATTGAATTCCAGGTTTTCAATGCTCAAATGAATGGGGCTATTGGCATTTTCATTTACAACGACCCGAAAAACTATGGACCAGTCCCAGCAGATAAGACGTATCCAAAAAGCATGTGGATGCCAAGAGACGGAGTTCAACGTGGTTCCATTGGTTTAGGAGATGGAGACATCTTGACCCCTGGATGGCCCTCGACGGGTAATGATTCTTTTTGTGTATAGTTGTATCCCTGTCAATGGGTCAGAGACACGAATTTCAAATTGATAATCAATGTGGTTGAGCGTGTTTTACGTCGAGCAATGAGCAAAAATTAATCCGATTAAATAACGACCTTGTACACGATAAGTACAACGTTTCGAGCATAATATTTCATCAGGTAAAAATAATAGGAGGAATAGCGGTAAAAAAAAGAATAGAAGAGTAGAATCGAAAGATTAACAATATGGGCTGTGGTAGGAGTTACGTCGTTATTTTATTGTATTTATCTTTACGAATTTCAAAACGTTGAAGGATTCGTTGAAACTAATGCTCAAAGCGGAGGTTCTGTCCGATGCAATGCGTCAAAAGATTGATAGCTTTTTTCTTAATTGAAAGATTTTACGTCCCTTCCTGGCTCATTCTTTCCTTAATTATGATCGAAATGTGTTTCAGCAAGTTCATGTCTACTCTATCTATGCGGATCAAATATACAAATGGAGAAAAAGGACTCTTGGCTTAATTTTTTTATCGAATTCTTGTGTCCTTTGCAGGGCCGCGGAGAGGATTTATGGGCCCCGTGTCAGGACGAAAGATAAATAGAAAGCATTCCTTAGGCAGACGCTTCTAGGGGATAGGGGGAAGGCTCTTCGGGAATTTTTGAAATTGGCTGTTGATAAAATTGCTTTGGTGGCTAGTTTGGTTGCTAAAATTGCTATGGTGTCTAAACTGCCCTAGTGGCAGTGGTGTAGATAGAGGGAGGTCAGAGGGTGCAAACCCTCCCCCCGCCCCCTGTAGAGCTAAACTACTATTCTGTCGGAAAACGTCTGGACTTGTCAGAAATTTAACACAGTTGTCTATGTTTTTCTTATTGCCATGTTTTGATAGGAATGAATTCAAAGCTACATAAACACAAAAATATCTGAAATATCAAAAGATTTATTGATTTCAGCTCCGATGTTATTATATTAAGTTAAAATTTATGAAAAAATATAAATGCTTGATAGTTTCTCACCCTTCCTATGAATGTTCCTATCTAGGCCATTGTCTGGTGGCTATTTCTTTCTGTTTGCTAATTGGTATAATTTGAACACAACTGATATCTTAACACCATAATGCATAAAGATGCAAATTTCTTAGAAATTCGAAAAGTCTTAGAAAATGGAAAACGTTTAATTTGTTAGCCAAATTCGATCACAGCCAATTCACTGTTGCAAACAGATACACATGCCATGGTGTAAATCTGTATGATATACATATTGTTGTATGTTGCCCTGTTGCAATCAAATTTTTTGGCTACAATCAGATGCTTTTAAGCTTCTTTAGCCGAAGCCCACAAAGATAAGAAATTTTTAACAAAATATCTTTATCATTCAGGCAATCAAAGACTCAAACTGCCTCTACCTTATTTCATTCAGAGACTTTTGCATTATTGTCTCTATTAATGACAGTTCGTGATAATGCAGAGGCTGGATTATTGCTAAGAAAGCTTTTATAACTGAGTTATTATTTATGGGTCCCTATAGCCAAGGGCCCCCTGGTCTGTGACCCCCCAGTATTTCTATATTTTTTCCTTTGCTACAGATGATGCCTATCGGATGCCTATGGACACCGCTCCTGGATTACCCAAGATACCTTGCCATCCCATCTCTGCAAGAGATGCAGAGAAATTTCTAAGGTATAATGGAATTTGGTTTCCATATGTTGTTTTAAGATTTCCTGGATATTTTGAATTTTCTTGATTCTTTCAGCTTGCTATCACACTGCTCTTATCGTACACACAGGTTTTCATAAAAATCGTTTAAAAAAAACTCCAGTAGAGTTTTCTAGAGAAACGATAATTTTTTTAGGAAGGATTTGTGGTTGTGTAGAATTTGAGAAACCTTTTTTTATGTACTATTCTATTTTTGATTAAATCCATATTAATAACAGTAAGATGGGTGGAACTCCAGTTGGTTTCACAAACTGGACAGGAGGCTTGGGTATCACATATAAAGTTGGACCAGGATTCAACTCATCCTACGCTGGCTGGTAAGTGGTAGATTTACTCAGCTCCTTTGTATAGTCTTGCTGGTATACAAGCACTTTCGAGGATGTCCTGTTTATTTTTATCGGTTTTTGCTTAGCTTCCAACTAAAGCCTATTCTGTAGTTTGTTGAAAGCTAGTTCTGCAGGAAATTTATGTTGAATGTCTTTTTAGATAAGAGAAAATCGAATTATATTGAAAGCATTTATACAAGAAACTCCTGAAGTAAAAATATTCTTAAGGAGATAGGGTGCAAAAAAGTCACAAATGCCAGCCCAAGCATGGGGTTTTGTCACTAAATAACACGATCAAATTTAAATCCCGTAATGTATCCTAGTTCTCGTGTCCTGGTTTGCAAAATATTCAAAGGTCGTATTGATAGACCTGCTCTCCTTTTTGTATGTTTACCTCTTGTAGCTTACCAGGTCTTACGTCAGTTTGATATCTCTTCCGATTGTATTTTTTGACGTGTCTTCTTCTCATCCAGTTTAAATCTGTTTTCAAGGAAAGCCAAATTGGAAGTGCACAATACCCGTGATATACTGAAGATAACAAATGTTATTGGAACAATACGAGGAGCAACTGAGCCAGGTTTGTATGCTGTCTGTGATTAGGTATTCTTCAGTTCATTGCCTCTAACTCTCATTAATGTGATCGAAACTATATGACCATGGGTTCGGGTCATATAAAAATGTCTACGATTTCCACAGCCATCATCCTTCCTGCTTGTTTCTAAAAGTAATTTTCATTTATCTCTCAAAGTTTACTTCCATAACCTCCCCCTTTATTAGCGTAATTAACATTAATTGTTATGTCTTTAAAGATCGCTATGTTATGGTTGGCAATCATCGTGATTCCTGGGTCTTCGGTGGGGTTGATGCATCAAGTGGCGGATCAGTTCTTTTGGAACTTGCCAGAGTCTTTGGAGAGTATCTAAAAACAGGTAGGGTTCTACAAATATAACACCCTTTCTTTGTATCGAACCAAGTTAATTTCAAAATACTGGAAAATAGGGTAATAATGTTTTTTCCAACATATATGAATCTAATGGCAATGAAAACTTCACTTAGTATTTTTAATTTGACTCATAAATTCCTTCCTATGACTATATTTCGTCGACTTCCATAGGAGGGAACTATTCATTGTAACTTTATTTATCGGCTAAGTGTTTTATCAAAAGATGACTATTTTCCTTATTTAAAGCCGTGGATTGATAATCTTTGCAAGTCCTATATTTTGCTTTTTACAAGAGGTATGCCCATCATCGATATCTTGTTAATTTTTGCTACTTCAATTTCGATTTGGATTTACAGGTTGGCGTCCTGCCCGAACAATCAAGTTCTGCAGCTGGGGCGGCGAGGAATCTGGTCTCATTGGCTCATCAGAGTATGTAGAGGTAAGCTCTACCGGTTGTTAGCTTTTCCCTGATATTTTGAACTTTGATAGACGCTCCTAAGCGGAAGCTAACGATTACATTTAAACTTTCTTCTGGAAGAAATAAATTAGCAAAGTGATGTCTCCTCAGTATTGATTTTTCTTCTCAATTAGCAATACGTGAAGATCTTGCGGGACAGGACTGTAGCCTATGTGAATATTGACACAGCTGTTTATGGTTCGTATAGAATTCATTTGATAATCTTAGTATCGCTGTCCGGATATTTTTAACGACTGATGTGATTTACGCTGTTTTTCCACATAGCTATTGTTAGGCAGCATTTCAATTTACTATGCTGCATCGCAGCCTCGCTCTACGCTCGACCCAGTTCTCTTCAAGTGTGGTGTTTGGCCGGTTGCATATGTAGGGTTTAGGTAGTTGGATACGAGGATGTTAAGATTAGTTTGAATATTCTGTTCACTTCCTTAATTATTGTCTTTCTAAGGCATTACTTACATCTCATGAGGTGGTTTACAATAGCAGGTCAAAGACTAATCTTTGATCTATAGACGAATTGCCCAAAGATCTTTGATATATCACTTCTAGAAAGACTTGATGGATCTAGAATTATATATAAGAGATTTGTTATGGCTAAAATGTTATTTGTCAATTTATAACTAAATCTAAACTAAAGTGTCAATTCATTATTTTCGATTTATTTTCAGGAAATTATTCAGTACATTTGGCAGCTAGCCAATTATTGTATCAAACGATTTATGCAAACCTCAAGAAGGTAAGTTGTCATTTACAAGGCAAATAGCCTAGTCACAAATATCTTTGTTTATCCTATAACCAAGTACCTCGCTGATATGCAGTTCCAAAAATGATGGTAGATTGTTGAACTTTTTGGTATTCATAGTTGCCTGTAGGCCAATGTATTTTTTTGTATTTGTTGAGAGTCAGATTGGCCTGTGGTAACAGAAACTGCTAATGGAAAAAGACTTTCCTAAGAAAACCAACTCTTAAACACGACTTCAAACAACTCTTTTACCTTTATGCATTAGTTTGCTACAGGTTCAAATTAAGCAAAGATGGTGAGACATTTTAGAGAGGAGTTAGATTTATTAAGCTTATATGATGATTCAATGAAATTAGGAGCTGAATAAACAGTTTATTAATTTTATTTAGGTAATTAAGTAAGCCATCATTACTTGTCTTCAACAGTTTTAGAAACTATGGTGAAATTAAATTTGGCTTTAACAATTCAAAGACACCCATCACTGATTAGAACTTATTTTCTACCTACACTTGATTTTCCACTCGCAGGTTTTACAATGGTTTTTTACTCATGTAAAAGACTTACTTGTTGCACTGGGCACCTTCACGACTTTGAGAATGGATGAATACTTTAAAATTGATCCATTTTCTGTAGGTTAAAGACGCAAATACGGCTATGACTATGTTTGAAAAGGCTGTAAAGACAGCCCCATCAGCAACAGCAAAAAATTTTCCCAGGTAAATTTGTCCTAATTCTAAGTACTCAAGATGGGGACTCATCATTTTCAGCAAAAAGGAAGCTAGTTTTTTAACTATAGTTTAACCATGATATATTCAATAATTACTGTTGGTCGGGCAGCCGAAAAATGTTTAATGGTTGAATTAAAAAAAGATTACTGTTTACCAGTCTGTTTTATGTAGCTTGACATTGTAAAACAGAGCTGTGTACTGTTTGTAGAATTGCTGTGGTCTTCGTGCAACTGTTGCAAATGATAGTATCTTTATTGTAGTTTTTACACTTATATTTGAACGATAATTCCGCAAAGAGTGGTAACTGTAAGCCTGCTTTTAGCGTTCATTAATCTTGGTTGGGGTCATAGTGTTGGAACCATATTATTTACCGCTTGCGTTAAATTTGTTTATTTATCTTTTTCCAATGTTACTTTTTGATACCAAATTTTGAGTGAGTGTGGCCACGAAAAAATTATTATCTCTTGTATTATAGGATTGGTGCAGTTGGAACAGGCAGTGACTATGCACACTTTTATCATTACGCCACTATTCCTGTTCTTGATATTATGCATGGAATGCAAGATATCGTGAGTAACAAAAGCAATAATCGTTGTAATGTTTCCAATGGCATGATTTCGCTACACTGTTTTCTTCTTTCGCTACACTGTTCTAAACTTTTGTCGAAACTTCAAAACTTCAAAACAGTTTATGAAACTCTTTTTTGACAGCATTCAAAATACGATGGAACGTCATACTACCCAGTCTACCATTCTCTTCACGATACATACCACTGGATGAAGGTTTTCATTGATCCAAAATTTGAATGCCACCGCTCTGTTGGGGAGTTCACAGGTCGTATTCTTCTGCAGTATGCCGATTCTGAATTGGTTCCCTTTGACCCACGTGACTATGCCACAGCCTTGCAAAAGGGTGTCGATGATATCAAAAAAGTGTTTACACAAAGAGCGGTTCAGAGTAATGTTGCCAACACAAGTATGTTTTTTGAAATATTTTTGCTATGTGACACTAACTCGATGTGTTTGATAAATTAATAGAATTTCGTAGTCTATCAAATCACTAAAAACCTTTGTCCATTACGAGATAATGTCCAACAGTTACAGAGAGGATCAAAATGCTTGATAATACATTATTATAGTTTGCTGAAATTTTTATTTAACGAATCTTGTATTTCAGACTTTAATATAAATTTCGGAATGCAATTTTCAGACTGTAACAGGCAGATCTTTGGTTCAGCACTTTGTTTTCAAAAACAATTTTTAGACTGAGAGATATATAATGCTTTAGTAAAGTATGCTTCTTTGTGAAAAGTAACAGTTTTGTCTGTTGGCAACTTTGGGCGACAGGTGTCTAAAAATCTTTATTGCTTAATCTTAAAAAGTCTTGTTCTCAGGAAGAAGGGTGAATTCAACCACTTCTATGTATGATAATTTAGCTTTTTCTCCAACAAATGCAAAAAGCATAACCCTTGAAATAGGGATAATTGATCCGAAATGGCCCTATGCACCTGTGATATAAGAACCAAGAACAGTCTGAATGTTCATAAAGTAGGTTTTTCTTGGCAGAGATCTTCTATAAAGCTTGTACTCATTATGGTTCCTGTTTTGTAATACATAGCTTTTAAAAACATTGCAATGTATGGTAAGGACGTTGAATATTTTTACCCTAGCATATTTGCAAAAGGCAGTAACAGCATTCAAGTTAGCTGCTGACAATTTTACGAAAGATCTTGCAAAGCTAGACAAAACTTCGTGAGTAAAACTCTTAATTTAGCAATTGTTCTTATAAAAAAACATTGATTCACTATTTATGGCATCATGTTTGGTTGTTTGCTCCACTTAGAAAACATTTGATCTTGTTAAGTTTCTTTTACCTCACTATTTTATTGCAACAATCGCTCATTCACTTCATACCAAGATTGATTGAGGTAATTTCGTTCATAGAGTATTACCTCTGCGTATAGCAAATGACCAACTGACACAAATGGAAAAGGGTTTCTTGTACTTCCCTGCGTTTCCAGGCAGAGCAGGAGTCAGGTATTTTATCACTTTTTTATATGCTTGTAGTGCCACAATCTCTTTGGTTCAAGATCAATTATAATACCGCTATAAAAGGAAAGGAAAGGGTGGGGACAAATATTTGCAAAAAAGGAGTCCAACAATACTTCATCTGATTTTTCATTAAAGGCAATCGACTCTGTGGCTCGAGCAATCTGTCAATCAAAATTGGCCAATTAATGAGCGTATGAGTGGTATTACACTTGGTGATTGGTCAATTTTGATTGGCAGTTGGCTCAAGCCACTTTAGCTAACACTTGACACTCTGTGTGGCGTGGCATAGCCCATCAAGCTGTAAATTGGGGTTCTGAGACAATCTATCTGTGAAGAGCCATTGCATTGCCTGACTTTATTGTGGATCCTAATCTCTGACAAACTTGTTTTCTCGACATTTCAAAGCAACTTTTTGAAAAATTCGATTCACTGACCAAATGCGTTCTCCTTTTGTTTCAACTCTCAATTTAATCTACTACATTTTCTTTTCACGTTGACATTTTACAATTAAAAATGGAAGATGCTGTCCAGAAATCTAGTTTACATCAAATTTGAGAATTTAACTGCAAATGAATAATTCTAACGCCTTGACAGTGCCCAGGGGGGGGCACTTGGCACACAGACATACGGGGGGTCAGTCCGATATTTTTGGGTCAAATGTTTGCCAAAAGTGATATTTTTGGGTTAAATATTTGTCAGAATTGATATTTTTGGGTCCTGCGAAAATAGTAGATACAATTTTCAACTTGCGCTGCGGCTTATATTACGGGCAGGGAACACAGACCGATTCTATAAATATTCTAGATTGCGTGCGGTACAATATCGTGCGGAACACAGACCCAGCAAGAAATATTACCTTGCAAAAAGCCTACTATGACTTACCTTGATGATTTGCGACTATTTTCAATTGAATTAAAAAAGGAATAAACATTCTTTTATATTAAGATTTATCGTCTAGAAACACGCAATGGAAAAGCATCTGGAATGAACGAATGTAATGGGCTTAGCATAAAATTCAAATTTTGTCACTACAGGACGATTGGTTTTTCCTTTAGGAGAGCTTGTCTTTATGAAGCACTTTTACTAATCTCTAAAATGTCTCAACTGGAACTTTCGTATGGTATAATTGCTCAGTTAGATTATCTTGGCAAAAAATGTGTTTTTCTTTACATTTTGGCAATGTCTTTCCAAAATAGACGTGCTCCGATGAACAGGTATCTTCTTTACGAAGAAGAAGCATTACCCATTCTCATTGTCCATATTCTCTTTACGCCAGGCATATCATTTTTGCACCGGCTGAATTCAAAACCTATGGTGCATCTGCATTTCCTGGAGTTACTGATCTTCTTTATGAGATTACTGAAGTCAAGAGAAAGCCGTGGTCAGAGCTGCAAAAACATCTCACTATTGTGTCGTCCACCATCGAAGGGGTATCTGCATCCCTTAAAAAGGCATGGTAGCCTGAATAATTTATCAACTAACCTACGATTTTGTGCTTTTTCGTTTTTTTTATTACGGGTATTTGCGAGTCATTCACCACAAATCATTTGCTGATTATTTTGATAAAGTAGAAAGTTGATTTAGTCATCTGTGATGGCAACTGTTGGTTACGAAAATTAATTTATAATTTCTTTTGTAAAGTCAAGTTTTAATAGGAATGCTATTATAGCTCGTTTATAACGAGAGGCAAAAATTATGTAATTGAGTTTTGATAGAGAGAAATAGAAATAGAGTAGAGAGAAATCAACTTTTATAGAGTTTAATATGATAAATTTTATATGAGTTTCCTGCACATTTATAAATTTTAATAATTTTTAGCTAATTTGTAATTTTAATCATTGAATATCAACTATTTTGATTTAGTCAATAAATTAAAGTATCATCCTTGAAAATTGTGTTATTTGTGTCCACAATTTTGGAAGTGAATTTCACAAACGTGAATCTTTAGAGTGTTACTGGTTTTAAATCTTCTGAATCTTATATTTTGTAAGGCCAATTTCATGAACACAAACTGTCAACTAAGATAAAAGAATCTTTAAAGTTTCAATAATTTATGAATCAATTATCTCTGGTATACCTATGGGCCTATTCCCTAAATTGATAACATAAAGAATTTGGTTTTCTCCATCATTCCAAAAGAAAAACTGAGCTAGGGCATGATCAAAGTGTGATACAGTGGAATCCCGATATAACGAACCCCGGATATAACGAACTTTCTGGTATAACGAACTTAATTTTTCGTCCTTTGGATTGTGCCTAACAAACTCCTTATAAATTCTCTCGGTATAACGAACCCCGGATTTAACGAGCTCTCGTTATTACGAACCAATTTTCAGGTCCCTTCATCATGATTGCCTCCGATATAACGAATTTTTCATAAATTTTTCATCTGTTATTTATATTTGTTTATTTTTGGTGCTCATTTATCACTTAATCTGTCGGGAAATCATTTTTATAATCGGCAAAACATGCCAAAGATACATTTCAATCACTGGCTGGTAGACTCAGAGCACGAGATGAAAGTTTGATTGCGTCAGAAATTACTTTTCGGATGAGTACATTGACAATAACGAATACAATTCAGAGTTCATTTTATCGGGATTCCACTGTATTTGTTTTGACAATACGTTGTGGAAAAATGCCCGGACCGAAACGCGTAAGGTGAAAGCATTGAAATTAGCTGCTGACAATTTTATGAAAGATCTTGCAGAGCTAGACAAAACGTTGTGAGTGAATTCATTATTCAAACTTCATTGGCCTTTGTTTTGATTGACTGATTGAATGGTTTGTTGCTTGGCTGATTGACTGGAGTGATTGAAGTGATTGGTTAACTGAATGGTTGTAATGATCTGTTGTTTGATTGATTGATTAGCTTGTACATATAGTAAGTTGTGAGCGAAACACGACGACACTTTACGTAATATTTACGTAATAATGCTTTACGTGATATTTACAACGTAATGCAACTTTACTGGTGACCTGCTTTTGTTTAGAAATACCGGGTAGTTCACCTTTCTATTATGTGGAGCCAATCAATGTATTATACTAAGCTCCTTGGAATTCGGCTTCTTGGCCAGCTCATTGTGAAAAAAGTTTCTTTAGGAGATGAGCTTTGTTTTCTGAATTTTATATTTTCACCATAATCATATGAGTTTCGTATGGAAAACATTTTTCGTTGTATATAGACTATTCGTGGATCTATCTAACTTGATAGAAAGTTGTCTCTGCACATAGCAAATGACCAACTGTCACAAATAGAAAAGGGTTTTTTGTATTTCCCTTCGTTTCCAGGCGGACCAGCAGTCAGGTATTTCATCACTTTCATTGTATGCCTGTAGTGTAACAATCTTATTGGGTTAAGACCAATTAGATACAGCAATGGATTGTGGGTGCAAAATTGGGAGCAAAGATTCACCAAATAAAACTTATATCAAGTTTTGTTTATTGATTGAAGTATACTCTTTTTGATTAAATTTCTGTTGCATCTAAAACATAGAGCTTTTTATTCTTATTATCACACGAGATATCTAGCTATCTTTACCTTTCTATATGACTTCCTGGTTCACCAACATTTCAGATACACTTGCAAGGACCTTTACTTTTTGTATACTTTGCAAATTTACGAGCTTTTCATACAGTGAAATTTAAAGATTGCACAAAAGTTTAAAATATTCGCAGCTAATTCTTTGAAAATCTATATCACTTCTAGTAAATCATCCTTGGATGTCAAAATAACATAATGGATTTATTAACGACAAAGTGTAATTGATCCTTTCTATAAATTGTCTTACCACCATCTTCCTAAGTTGATATTTCATAATATGAATAAAAATTTATTTACTAAAATTCACTTCTTCTCCTTTGACAAAAGAATCCATGATGCTTTGGTTACATTACTTAGTTCGCACGAGAAAGCTTTGTTCATCAGAAGGGTTTGAGAGATCTATAATCATTTCTTTTGTGGGGATATTACATAATTTCTTTTTTTTGCTCTTCGCTACAATGATATCTGATTTTCATGAATTGGTTACTATCATATACGTATTTGCTTTTAGCGAACACCATTTTTTATCCCATTTAAGATCGCAAAAACTATTTTTTATCACTAATTATTGCTGTTGATTCAACTTGATGAAAAAATTTACTCTACAATGTATTGCTAATTTTGAAATAGTCTAATTCAAAAAAGATCAAAATGCTTCGACTCAGTACACAAAGATTATTGTTTTGTTTCTGTCTCAATCTGATGCATCTTTTTGGATAGCTGGTGTTGTGTCAAGGCTGGTTTTATGTAACTCAAATCTGCTTCCAGTGATGCATTTCTGACAGTGGCTTCCAGTAAGGTTGACTCGGCGATAAAACACAGAAACGCTATATGTTGTTCTTTGCTAGTTCTCTTCGGGGTTTTCAAAATCAACAGCTCGGCCTACTTAGATTACACAGACTGAAGTAGAGATAAGAGGTCTAGGGCAAGGTTCCTGGCATTTGGAATACACCCTTCCCTTAAACTTTGAGATCTCTCAAAAGCTTGTTTGAAATTACCAGTATGCAAATCTGTTGAATTATTCTAAAGATCAGGTCCAACTGGGGACAATTGATCTTATTAAACATTCAATACAATAATGTCCTTGGAGACAGAAATAGAATTTCAATTTTATATTTAGAACACTAGGATATACTGTACAACTTGATGCCTACAAGGATGGAGGAGAGGACGTCAATGCTGATTTCATTGATAGCGATTTTTTTATTTCTGATATTAAGTGATAAAAACAATTTTGAAATTGTTTAATTTTGGATCATAAAACCCGGAAGAGCATCCTGAAATACTTGCGAATTTTAGTTATGTTGTAAATGTACAATATCTGTTTAATTTGTTACAAATAGACTTAGATATAGCTACTTAAACGCATCAAATCACTGTAGTTTGGTCTTTGTTCATAACTTTATGGACCAAGCCAAAACAACAGTAACAGGCACCGCGGAGCAGTGGGGATGGGGGAGCTTTAGCACCCCCACCTTTGCAAAAATTGTAAAACGTCCAGAAATGTTCCAACAGTAAAGCCTCTTTTTTTCGGTTTCAGCCCCCATATTTTTTAGACCCCTCCCCTCTTTTCTTAGCGCTCCGCGGTGCCTGAGTAATCCCAAAGCATGCTGTAAAACTAATGATTTTTACAGGGCAAAAATCAGTCCAGGAAGCAGACACTGAGGGCACTCCCAACTGGCCGTTTGGCCGTTGATTGAAGGTGGCTGCTATGTGGAAATTTTATGAGAGTTATGTACTCATTATCATCAGAGCTATGAGTTTTATGACCATAATTTCGGCAGGGACTTTCTCTACAGGCTGTAGATCTGGAGGTGGCGGTTGCAAAGAGGTGACCGTCATTAGGGGCTATTAGGGGTTTCATTGTATAGCAAACTTGATGTTTTCTTTAGGATTCTTAAAATAAAATACATAAACTCGAGCAATGCTATTTTTATACAAATTTCCAGGTACATTAGTAATTTGGGAGTCGAAGCGCGATGCAAGACGCGCTAGTGGAGCCTAGGAACTAGTGCTGCCTCCATGCTGCCACGTCGTGTTCATTTAACTCGGCGCAGCGCGTTGTCATCAAGTTTGCAACGCGGATTTTGAAATTTCACGTCGTGGAGACAAATTTGAGTGTTTTACTCGTGAGTACATTCACTCTTAATCATTTTATTTTACAAAATTTGGCGATTTCGTATTTGTAAGGCTTGTCCTGGGTAGATTTTAAGCAACATGTCCCTTTTTATACCTAGGTGTGTTTGCAGAGAGGTGTAAGTGTGCCCACTAATTACATTGGCAAGAAAATGGCTCAACAGAGTACTCAGGAGATCAAGATACAAAAGTTGGTAAAAATTCTTCTATAGCTATTTTCCACAGGTGTTAAACACCATGAATTGCTTACATGGAGACGTAGAAACCTTGGGAGTACAAAGGCCCTCTGCTTCTGCCCCCACCCCCGAGTTTTTGTGAGTGCCCGTTCAGGAGGACATAGTCTCCCTTTTGAGGCTGAATCTTTCTCTTTATGCCAGAACATTTGTCGATTGGTGTCTTATATTAGTGCCCTACATCCCTGATACATGTCATGGGATTTTCTGTCTCGCAAAAGTAAATCCTTGTCCTTTTAAATGCAGCAATAATGTTATGGATTGATATCAAGTTTGAATTGTGGTTTAATATGTACCTATACTATATTTGTATACTATATGGTTATAAAAATTACATCTTGGGTTGAAAAATGATGATAATTTTTTGTTTTATCCTTGTTAGAAATTTCCAGCTTTGCTTGAAGTCTAGCTAAAAGGATGTTAATTCTCAATTTCTAAAAAGTTCAACATTGGTTTCATTGCTTTATAAGACTAAGAGGCTTTTTTAGAATTTTAAAAATTGTCAGCTCACAAGTTGGGAATAAGATTTTTGGCATGATCTGATATTCTGTTAAACAGGCCAAAAATGGTGTGGACAAATGACCACGATAGACTTTTGTGCAGAGAAATTCTTATTGAGGAGCCATTCAAATCCAAGGTTGGTTCTCGGCAACGTGGTCAGCGTTGGGACAAAGTGGCTGACAATTTGAATCAGCAAGACCGACCTCGTTTCTGGGTCGATCAGAGGGCTGTAAGGGATAGATTCTTAAAACTAGAAAGGGGTTTTAAAATGCTAGAAGAAAAGCGTGCAAGTGGCCTTAGCCCACCTGAGCGAAGTGAAGTAGAGGAGGCAATTTGTGAAATAATAAAAAGGGGGGATGAGGCACACAATGAAATGGTGAAGATGGGGGCAAGTATGGTGGAAAAGGATATGGAAAGTGTAGACACTACAAGAAAGCGTCTAATTGATATATTGACAGAAGCAAGAGAGAAAGAGAGTCAAGAAGCAGAGAATAAAAGAAGGAAAAGTGATTGCAACAATGAAGAAGTTGCAGATGATTCTACAGAAAAGGTTGACATAGAGATCCAGTTAAAGAGAGAGGAGCTTGAGTTGAGAAAAAAGGAGATTGAAATAAAAGAGAAAGAAAAGGAAAGAGAATGGGAGATTAAAGTCAAAGAGCTAGAAATAAAAGAAAAAGATCATGACAAAAGGGCAATGAGGGAAAAGGAATTGATGGTCATGTTGCAACAACAAATTGACAAGCAGATGGTGATGCAACAGCAATTACAACAACAGAATCAGCTACTCTTTGATATCATGAAAAGGTTTTTTGACAAAGTATCCTAAGCTATCTGTAAGGTATGATGAAAATCTGTAATTATTTTTAAGCTACCATTTGAACTGAAACATGAAAAAGACCTTTCAAAAACCTGAAAATCATTTAGAAAATCATGATCTCCCTCATAAGTGTTATCCTCACAAAATGTCTTTTTAACTCAGCTGCACATTAGTTGAGGACAAAAAGCCTCAACTAGATTTTGAGGTACTTTGATTGGTTTTCCTTTCACCACTAAAATGAAAGGCTTCCTCCTGCTATCAGGTTTACAAATGGATTTCATCCTACATGAGTTTCGGCCACCATATTTCTGATTGTTTTTGCAATGGGCTTTAAAATTGGAGAAATGGTGTGAGTGAAACAGCTAAAAGCTCTATGGAAATTCAAATTACTTTTAAAATGTTTGCTAATTTTAAAATTTTAAACAAAATGTTGTGATTTTAATTGATTATATATCTGTTGGAAAGGTCCCTGGCCTCTGCCAGGTATAGCCCCTGCTACTATTTGTAAATTTTATTATTATTCAAAAAGGATATATGCGAAGCGGTTTTTTACCAGTGTTCTAGAGCTAATCATAACTTGTGAATATTATATTTCATGTGTGTTTTGACAATATTGTTTTTAAACCTTTTTAATGGATAATTCAGTTAATTTACAGAATCTTCTTGTAAAATATGCTTTTTTTCTTGTAAACCTATGTAACTGATTGGACAGTTTTGAAATTCTTAGTGGGGGGGGGCGAAGGCCCCCAGTTCCTGCTCACTTCCGTGGTCCAAAGGCTATATTCCCTTGTGAATTATCTTATCCTAGCTAGCAAATTTCTGAAATTTGCCTTATTTCAAAATAGATAGAAAATATTGCCTTTAACCACCCCAAATATTACCCCCCATTACGTCCTTGTGAATCTCAAAAAACTTTTTCCGATCACCGCCTCTGAGCTTTATGGATGACGTCTTGAGTGTTTCTTTCAACATAATTTTTATTCACTTTGAAATCTTTGTGGTATATTTAATCTGGCGCCAAATTTTGAACGCGTCGTAACGAATCTTAACGGAGGTTAAGGTAGCAAGCCGGGCCTCACAAACCGCACCGTGGAGAGAGCCAGGTCGAAAACGCGGAAAGCGCGGAACACGCGGAACACGCTGAAAAGTGAAATTTTCCTTTAGTTAATTTGATGACAAGAGAGGTATCTAATGATTTATTGAGCCTTTGATAAATCGATTGATTAATATGATCGATTATAAAAGTTTTACGCGTTTTCCGCGTTTTCGATTTTCACCCTCGTACAAAATCGAAAACGCGAAATTTTCATTCCTTCAAAAAAAGTTCTTATATTTCAATTCTTGAAAGAGCTCTGTTGCTTTGTTAATGTATTTGCAAAATTTCACATTTCCGCGTGTTCCGCGTATTCTGCTTTTTCCGCGTTTTCGACCTGGCCCGTAGAGAGTGCTTCGTATTTAGTTGAATCTATTGCAAATCCAAGTCAGACCCAATGATTTATTATTAGATCTACGATAAATTTATTTTTCTTCGAATCTCGGAGTATATATCTATGAATATAGGAGTATATATTTACGAGTCTCCCCGAAAACTGGTTCAACATCCAGCGTTGATGACCAACTCATGTCACTCTCGGGTCTGGGTTCGTGAATGTTTTTTAATTCTATGTATTTGGATCTGCCTTATCAACCAGTTACTGCGTGATTATCATCGAAATATGCAAAAAGCGCTAGATTACGAAAAATTGGAAACTAAGATTTAAATCAGTAAAACTATCATTGTGATTGCTCTGCGGATAACAGTTGATGTGCAACGGAACCCTGGGTGCCAGGGCCACAAAATTTCGATAATAATATATAATAATAATAATAAATATAATAATAATAATAATAATAACCACCAAGACCAAGCGAAGAATTAAAGGAGCGTCCTTCTCCACTCCTATTTTCTATTTCCTCGTTCGAATTTACGCGGCTCCGGTACCCAGGGTAATGTAACGGTTACGGGAGTTCGCTTCTTTTGAGTAACTCAAGAGATGGCGACAGGGAACCGAGATATGTGTAGTAATTGACTGAATTGGAGGTTAATGGCTACAGTCAGTCACCGCGCAGCCATTGGGCTAGCAGGGGCTATGCATAGCCCCCCCTGCACTTTTTTGCAATAATAGGTTAGAATAGGAAAACCAATAGGTGAGTGTTTGCAAGTTTCTTGACTGGGAACCCTTTTTTGCTAATTTTTTGTGTGCTTTGTCTTGTTTAATTTTTTTGACTGCGCCATCCTTCCATTCTATCATACATGGTTTGAATACTATTATATTCATTTTATAACGGGAAAGTTTAGCATCTGATACCTAGTAGGCCTAGAAGAGGTCGGTTGGGAGCAGTTCGAAACTTTATTTTTGACTGATTTAATTCTTTCTTGGTTACATCAACCTTTTTAATTTCATCGACGCGAGCAGCCATTACCGCTAGGTAGAAGCTTGCCTATTTGTTGATGACCATCGGACCGTAAAAATATTAGGTTACCAAAAATTCAATTGTACTGGTTTATCTCACTTGTTTCTCGCAACATGTATGTGATACAAAGCATGTAAAACCATTTTACGGTAGAACTTTTGTCCCAACTTCATATGACCAAAATCTTTTTGCAGTTTTCGGGGGTCGATATATTGCGTTGGTGCCTCTTTAAGTAAGTGGCAAAATGTTTTTGTAAAGATTCAGTATTACAAGTGAACCCACTTTGGGGGTGAATATAAGATCTCAAAGACAAATGTAGGGGAAATGGAAACATTTTTTTGAAAGTGGTAATCAAATTCCATGCTGAAATCAAAACATATAGAATATTCAAGCATTTAAGTGATATTTTTCTACAATTCTGAAAGCTGAATTAGATACAAAGGCATTTTAAAGATCAATGGAAAGGACTACATAGATATGCCAAAAATATGTGTTAAGACTTGGACAGCAGTTTGAAGATTTTTCTCAAAGAAAAAAGTTCTTTCTTAGCGTCTTGTTCACGTCGTTGATGCTCTTTGTAGGAAAAAAGATGGTTTTAGATAAATTACTTATAGAAGAGGTTCAAGACAGATCCCTGTGAAACACGAAGATGTAATCTTCCATTCGTGACTTAATACAATTTGTCAGAGCAAACTTTGGACTCCAGGGAATGAACTTAATACAAAGAAGGAACTGAAACAACCCAAATTTGTTTACTCTTTTAAACTAGAAATAGATTTGGTTTGTTTTGATTCCTTGTTTAGGCAATTTTAACGCCCAATAGCTGAAAATCAAGTGCTGCTGGCATTAAAGAAACAGAAATGCTGCAAAAGTGCTGCCCTGCTATGCTGATGGTTTTATATAAACAGAAGCATTTAGCAGCAGCACCAGCGTAAAGAAAAAAGGGGTTAGGGCTCAGTTCCGAGCCCGAATCCTATAGAACATATTTATAAGAAGATGAGAGTCCAAACCCCGTCCTTTCTTGGAGTAATAATGCTCTCATATTTGGAGTAATAATGGCGCTCCTCAATCGTCTTGTGCCTCCTTGACAAAATTGAATCCAAAGCCATTCGCTTCATTCAACAGCTTAGACCCCAAAAGTCCTCTTCAGCCTTTTCCTCATCAGGGCCGTGTTGCCGACAGGGGCGTAGATGGAAGAGATCATCCCAGTTTTCGACAAAACCTACTGAATCTCGAAAAAGCAACCTCTCCCGCCTGATCAACATTCAGCTTGGAATTCTGCACCAAAAACTGGTCTAGGAAAAGTTGGTATGGTAAAGTTTTCTGGGTAACCATTGTCAGCTCATTCACATGCTACATCCCAGCTTTTGAACAATGCCCCCCGTATCATGGAGAAGCATCCTCTCCCACCCTTTCAAATGTTTTTTTATCTCTACACCAAAAACTGGTCTAGAAATTGTTGGTTTGGTAAAGCTCCTCTTCGGGTGGTCATTGACAACTCATTCACAGGTTGCATACCAGTTTTCGGACAAAACCCTCTGTATCTCGGAAAAACCACCTCTTCCGCCCGATCAACATCCAGATTTGAATTCTACACCAAAAACTGGTCTAGAAAAATATTGTTTTGTAAAGTTCCTCTTTGGGTGATCGTTGACAGTTCATTCACAGGTTCCATCTTAGTTTTTGGACAAGGTGCTCCTCTCCCGCCCGATCAACATCCAGATGTGAATTCTAGACCAAAAACTGGTCTAGAAAAAGATAGTCTGGTTAAGTCCCCTGTCAGGTGATAATGCACCCCCTTGTCCCTCTGGACTATATTGACAAATTGCAAAGAGGAGAAAAAGCCTTCCGAGTCTGCACGCAGGCTATCGTGCCTGTGATTTACCCAGTAGAGCATAAAATTGAAAATCCAACATACATTCCAACGTCCAGTAATTTTCCAAGTAAGCACTGTTTCATTATTCTTTATCAATTTAACATGTAGCGATTGTATGCCCTGTTGAGCTTATCTTAACTCAAAAGAAGGCACACATTGTCACCTACGTTAGCGGAGAGCCCGGCTGCTATCATTGATAAGAAGCTTTCAAGGCTGATGTTAAAACCAGTTTCAAAATCATAGAAGAATTTTGATGTTTCCAAAAGTTTCCAAATTCTTTTATATAAATTGAAAACAAACATCACCTTGAGCAAAGCAGTCAAAATCTCTCCAAGAGCAAGAGAAACTTTAACTTGAAGAAGCCGGTTCTTTAGAATTTTTAACCAAAGCTAAGGCATGCTAACTTTTATGTCATATCATAATGTAGCAAGAGATATTTGCAAAGTTTTGTTTTCTAAATGCGAAGTCTGCTCTTACCCTCTTTATTCCTTCAAGACAGGCTTCTCAAAACCGAGGAATAATTGATTAGTATCGGGACAAGTACACGATACTGCCCTAGGCGGCATTTGTTGTCGTTGAATGGTGGGAAAATTTTTGAATTTGGATGTTTCCAGTTCACAGGAAAACGGATTCTTTGTAGCAATTTATACTAACAAAACCTTACAATTTGAAGGAACATCCAAATGCAAAAATTAATTGCAAAGATTATATTGGTGCATTTTCTGTGCATTCCATGTTTTCCCCGCTGGATATTCCCGCCAGGCATATGGACAAGGTAGCTGAGTTCGTCAGGAAAAATTTATGCCGCCAATTTCATTCTTGTTTTGAGAAAAATGATTATTCGACAATGGTTTTGGATGAATATCGGGGACGCCGGAAAGCGGGGGTGCGGGGTGGGTCAACCCTGACTAATCTATAACGGTTGCCTTTTGATAGAAGGGGCAAGTGTTTTTGACATCGGCCGTTTGTAATTATTAAAAGATCCCTATGAAATTCTGACTGTATTGCCTTATTCGTGACCACATTTCCAAGACAAAAATTTCATATGCCAAAAGTTAGGCGATTTTCAAGATACCTACAGAAGGTCGAAACAAAGTGTTGGTAGCTTGGAATTTTGTTTTAAATACTCTTTTACTCAAGTCTGCCTCCCAGCCCCTGGGTCGTTCCGGCGTCCCTGATGAAAGTTTCCAATTTGATCGTGCTTTCTGAAATTCTGCGACATTTTTTGAGTGAATGATTCACAGATTTTATCTTTTTGGCAATTTCTATCTTTTTAGTTTTGCTTTACTGCTATATTCACATGTTTGTGTTTGTTTGATTTAAACTTTGTTCACTGACACTCCTGTACAGACTCAGTGGTGGCGCCAGGGGAGGGCTGGGGGGGGGGGCTACAGCCCCTCCGTCGGAAGCATCTAGCTCCCCATCGGAGGAAATTTTAGGTTATTGTCGGAGCAAATTTGACAAAATAACGTACGAAAACTGCTTATTTTAGTCATTTTAGCCCCCCCCTGTCGGAAGCTCCAACCCCTCTGTCGAAAGATTTCTAGCGCCACCTCTGTACAGACTACAGAATTAAAATTCAGCCACCTATTTGATTATTAAAGCAATAAAATCTCTGTCAAAAACACGGTAAATTGCAAGGCGGACGAAAGAAAACCAATATTTTCGAAAAATCGTAAGCTATACTGTATCAGCTTGCTGTATACATTTCGAAGGTTTTAAGCTATAAATTGATTTGGTAGACGGCCTTTTGCCTCTCCAGTCAGAAATCTAGCGCCTTCGGTGCTTCTGTACCACTGGGAATTGGGAGTTCGCAGCCAAAACGAGAACGGGGCTGCAGCATGTCAGTAAAAAAGCATTGGTGCAACTGCAGAATCTCTCTTGGTGCATGTCATCGTGGGTGATAGTAGTCAGTTTGGAACAGACGAAGACGGATAGATTCCTTCGTAAAGACGGATAGTTGAATATTTGATTATGGAAATTATCAGTATGTTCAAATTTAAATCTTTATTAGCTTATTGTGAGTTTTTCAAACTTCCAACACAGATTTTTATTCGATTTTTAAGTTCAACTTTATAGGCCTAATGAGCAACCAGTTTCTGTTAGACTCCAGATATATGTTATTGCAACGTTAAACACCTAGCGTAAGACAGCTCCGAATCCCAATTTGATTCTATTCGTATAAAGTTTAATCTCCACTATTAACAGGAACAAATGATATTTACTTTATGGTATAAGCGCGTAACTTTTGTTTTTGTGTGGTACCGATGGATGAGCTTGTAGAGTGTATTGATTCGAAATTGTATTTAGGATTGATTGACAATGAATAGTTCCTGAAAATTGAGCCTATTTGCTAGGCTTTGGCTCGAAGACCTTCGATGTTGCTTGGGCTGTTGTTGGTGAAACTTGTTTGGCAACAATTTTAAATACGTTCAAATACGTTCAGTTATTTATATCGCACCTCTCAGTAACCATACATCATATACATTAATACTATATACCAAACGATAGCTCTTGATAAGACCATTAATATGGTATATAGTTGGTTATAATTTACCTTCACGGGGGCTATATTCAATTAAAAATCTTCTCATGTTTCTCAGTTCAGCGGTCCCCCCTCACCGAAACAACAACAGCACCATCCTCAGCAATATGACACATCAATGAGTGGTGTCGTCGACTTTTCCTCCGAACGCGGCATTCCAGGGGGTAACTTCCACGTCGTTGCATCGGAAATCTGATTGGTGCCAGATGCGGAAAAGGGGGCGCTGTAGGTGTTTCAACCAAGAAAGGCTTGCAAAACATGAATAACATTTTCAAAAGATCAAAGCGAGATTGCATTACATTACACGCATGTTGTTCTTATATTTTGGGCGAATTTCAGCCTGATTGGTATTTTTCTGAGGCTTTGCGTCCCTTCTTTACTATCACCGTTTCTCTTTACAACTAACAGCATTCATGAAAAGAATTCTTATCGCTAGATATTAGATGTATAAGCATTGTTAGATATATCACCAATGGCATTTCTACGGGAGGGATGGGGGGACATGGCCCCAGAAATTTTCTTGCCCCTATTTTGCCCCCTCTCAGTTTTTTAAGAAATTTTCTAATAAAACTTCAAGATTTCTTCCATAGCAGTTCAATCGTTTTTTGACTTTGTTAGGGATCTTTCTTTTTTTGCTCAATGCGATCTTATTGCATTATTTTTAACAAGCTAGAGACTCTGATATGCGTTTTGTTTTGTAACCGAGGTGAACATTAATGAAATTTTGGCTTTTTGATGTAGTTACCAAGAAAAATTCATTCTTGACAATCATTTAAATTCTATATTTGTTATATATTATCACGAAGATACACCTTCTTGGGGTGGGGTGCGCAGGGTAAGCCCAAGATTCTCCGCATCCTATTTAAAACATTTTTTTGCTCTGGAACACAGCGCAAGGAAATACCAATACCATACAATTATAACTTAATCAGGGCCTGCGACGAAGGGGGCAGGTGGAGCCATGGCCCTCTCACTATTTTGCAAAACAATAAAGCTTTTTTCAAAATCTTTTGCTATAGGCGTTAAATTTTCCCCTGGCCCCCTACTTTCAAACCTGTGTCGGAGCCCATGTCAATTTCTAGGAAAGTAGACTACTTAAATGCTAACCATTTAGGTTGGAAAGTATACATCAAAACAGCGGAGAGGCTCAGCACAGGGGTTGTGCCAGAAAAGTTTCTTAGGGCAAGCGCAGTCACGTAGCTGGGGAAATCGGCTGGGCTGGGCAAACAGCTAGAATCATTCGTCGAGGGGGCATGCTTTTCATAATTTTCTAGCAAAAACTCGCACACGTTTCCGATTGCTTGCTCTTACATCAGCTGAGAATACATGCTTGAAAATTTGGAATACATGCCAGAGGGGGCAAGTTGTCGTCGAAATTTTGATTATTGCAGCTACGTGGCAGGTTTCAAGGGTCAGGTTGCCGGGTACGCGATAATTAAATTAATTACACAAAGTGAAGGCATACTCAGATAGCTAAAATGTAAGGGATCTTTTATTTCTTAACTTTAAAATATACAATTCTTTAAATTTAAAAAATCTTGCTTTGTGAAAAATGCTTAAATACTAAATTTGATTAAAATGGACATTTTTTTATATTCCACTAAAAATTTACAAGACAAGCAAAACTGAAATGCTGCATAAAATATATCTGCACTTTTTAAATAATTTGACAAAGTTTACTGAATGCAACCTTTCAATTTCAATAGAAAATCTAATCGATTTGATCTTTAAAAAACCTCATGGCAACGAATAGTTAAGAAAGATATACAGGAACAAAGCAATACGACGACGAGAATCCAATGTCACGAGATAAAAGCGAAATATTAGTATATTCTTTAAATTTAATTTATTTTGAAAATTTTATCCCCTGATATTGGATTAATAAATCTCGTACACCTTTTTTGAGAGTGATTCACCCCTCGGATAATAAGATCGTGTGCATTAAATGCGGCCCATGTAAAGACTTACTTGTACGCCCAAGAAGTCAGTCGAAATTTGTTATGATGATCAAATGAAATTTCTTCAGAGTTAATTTCACAGGGGCTTTCGAGCTTTAACTAATTCGCTTGAAATTGTTGTTTTTTCTTATTCGTTATGGTATCTTGTGCCACGCTTCCTCTCGTTTTTCTTCTACCTGTTCTTCTAGTTTATGGGCAATGCGGGGAGTCTTTCGGGTATCAATGCTTGTGACAACAGTATTGATAGTATCATTGAAACATTAGAGAGTGATGCCCTTAAAATTGCATAATTAAAATTGCAGTTGCACTTATACATATACAAAAATAAAAGTAATGATATTTTGTTAAATATCGGAAGTGTCAGGATAAAAGAGGGCACGAAAGAAAAGCTGCTTGAAGTGATTCTGGACAAAACATTATGCTTTAAAAAGTACTGTCCTCTTGTTTGGATGTTCTGCGATAGAACACTTAATAGTAAAGTTAATCGTATTCACAAACGGGCATTGCTGATAACTTACAAAGATATGAAATCAGATTTTGACACAATGTTACTTAGAGACAATGCGGTCCCAATCCACACCAGGAATTTACAACTGTTGATGATTGAAATTTATAAAACAAAATGGGAGCTCAATCCTACTTTCGTATTTGAAAAACACAGTACGTATGGATTGAGAAGCTGCCACAATCTACTACTGCCACAAGCGCGCACTACGTGCTATGGCTTAGAGACGATATCGTTTCTGGAGAGTAGATTGCGGCAGGCACTGTTCTAGAGATTTAGGTCAGGACATTTTGAATAAGCTATTGGGTTGGACTGGTGCATCGGCTATTAGTGGGGAAAAGAGGCTTTTCCTGTCCATTCCCTCCCAAGTATCAAACATATTTGGGGGTTATTGTGCAACTTCCCTTAATAAAACCTTTTTCATTTTAATTCAATATCGCAACGTAAGCTGATTACCAGCTTCATATTTTGTTGGAAAAGTATTTACGACTACAGTTTGGAGTGATTTTCATAGAATATTCCAAAGCTGCAGCCATGAAGCGGGAAATTGGCATGCATCCACGACTAGCTTGCGCAATCCCAACTCATTACGTTGATAGTGAGGCAATTTTTATATAATAAATCAATTTTAAATTGGAAAGTTGAAAAAATGTTCTATCGGGTGTCCTCTGGACCGCTTGGAACATTGCATGGCGTCTTCATGTGCCTAAATACAATGGTGATTTACATGAGAGGGCGAAGAGGAGGGTGGCGCAAGTTGGCGAAGTTCAAAGTTCATTTATTCATTCATTTTGGACACATCATATATTACTTGAAGCACAATCTCGCCATTGGCGAATCCTGTTAAAGAGTGTCTACCTTATAATCTTACTGTGCTGTCTACATTTATCGTATATTACCCGGAAAAAGTAATTTAAACCATTGGAGATCGGATGGAAGTATATCTAAAAAATAATTAACACTGCCAATTTAAGATTTATTAGTATGGTACCACACATGCTATGATAAAAAAGTATGTCAGCAATTAAGTCAAACTTCCTGATAAGCCAAGTTTCAATTCATTTGAATGAAACATACAGAAAATGTTAGTCACCACCGTCCTGAGCATCACTCCATGTCATTAAATGTGTCTCTTTGATTGGAGACCACTCATAGAGACACCCAACTATATAAAGTGCGTTGCAAGTATACTTCAGTGCTTTTACATCATGATGGCTCAAGCTCAGGTTCCACGACTGCCAACAGTACAAGAATTCGAGTCCTTCAACTTGATGGCAATTGGGCGTCGATTTGAAGATAACGACGAGGCTACAATTGCATGGTGCAGGCAACATGGGCTGCTTTCAACGGAACAAGAGTGTGATGTATGCCAGGTACCTTGTAGAGAAGGTCTGTACAGACGCGGCATCGATGGCGTCATTTGGAGGTGTCCAAATTGCAGAAAGACAATAAACATCCGAAAAGGCAGCTTTTTCGAGCGCTCACATCTAAAGCTGTGGCAGGTTATCGGCTTGACATACCTGTGGGCTACAAGTGCGGGCTGCCCAAGGGGGCTGTCTGTGTTGCTGACGATGAGGGAGCTCAAAATAAGCGGCGAGCACACAATTGTTGATTGGAATCAGTTTTGTCGAGACGTGGCTGTCCAGCATTTCGTGAACCACCCAGAGCGTCTAGGGGGAAAGTGACACATTGTGGAGATCGACGAAAGTCTGTTTGCGCGAAGAAAGTACGAGCGTGGCCACCTTGTGAGAGAGCAGTGGATACTGGGCGGGTACGAGGCAGAGACAAAGAAAGGGTTCCTGGTACCGGTCCCTGCAAGGAACCAAGCAACATTACTGCCAATCATTCAGCAATGGGTGGAACCAAACACGACGATATGGACGGATATGTGGGCAGCATATCGGAACCTGCCACAGCTTTGGTTTGCCCACGGCACGGTCAATCACACCTTGAATTTTGTTGCCCCCTTAACAGGGGTA